TTGAGACAGTGTCCCTCCGGGAACCTGAAAGTTCATTGCTTTTGCTAGGCTGGCTAGATGTGACCACATCTAGTCCCCCCCCCCCCAGCTCTTAGTACTGGGGTAGCATGTGTTTGATTATGTCTGGCCGTTCAACGTATGGATTTTGGAGGTCCAGATCCAGCTCCCCACCTCTGTGTGCATCCAGCACTTCACCCACTGAGACATCTCCCAGCACCTTTGGAACCTTTTCCTTTTTACTTCCGTCCAGGCTATGTCTGGGGAAGACATCACAAGAGCAGAGATAGTTGAGCTGAGCTGTGGTGTCTGTAGCTCTGACCCTCACTGCTCTAAGCTCTGACAGCCTACGGTGCTCTATGCACAAGACTACGTTGTCAGGCATGAACAGCAGCCCTGAGATAGATCTACCAGGGAACCCAAGCAAATCTAGGTGTGAAGCTGAACACATACTCTGTTAGCCCAGGTGTGCACTGTACTGTGGGTAGCATGGACCTCCTTGTTCGTTTTTTTAAAGTTTTATTTCCCTTTGTTTATATTTTACCCACAGGGTTGTTTTGTATTCGTGTGTGTGTGTGTGTGTGTGTGTGTGTGTGTGTGTGTGTGTGTGTGTATACACTGTGTGCATGCAGTACCTTTTAAGGGCAGATGAGGGCGATGGACTTCCTGGTACAGAAGTTATAGATGGTTGTGAATGGAAATGAACCCAGCTCCTCTAGAAGAGCAGTCATGACTCTGAATCACTGAGCCATCTTTCCAAACACCTCCTTATTCATGAGGAATAAGGAAATTACTAGAAAAACTACCAAAGATGTAGCTTTGGGTACTGGCTCGTGGGAGTGCTCACTTGGTGTGCCCAAGTTTCCATTGTGGGTAAGCAACGGCAGCAGAGGTTTTGGAGCAAGGTTAAGATTATGTGGCTCTTGATGGGTGGGAGAAAAAACACTGTGGTGAGTTTAACTATTTACACTTAGATCCAGTGTCCTGGGAAATAAGACATGCTTGTATTCTTGGAGCGAGTTAAATCACTTACTTTACGAGTGCTGTAAGGTTTATGTTGAAATGCTCTTTATAAGTCTTTCCAATCCTGCTCAATTTTGGTGAGTGTGGCTCACAAGAGCAGTGGCTGTGCTCAAAGGTGACAGAGCCACACTCCACCTCACACCACCGCCTCCTTTTCCCAGCAGGCACCAGGCAGATTGAGCTGCTGAAGCTGCATTTCGGTGTTTTCTAGGGTTTATCTGTCATGGTGTTTCCGTCCTCTCTACTTTGAAGGGGGTGGGGGGAGCAACCTGATGCTGCTCATGCTAGGGTGGGCTGCTGAATAATAGTGGTCCCTGGATGTGGGGCTGGATGAGCTTGGCACAGCAAACGGTAGCCCTTTCTTATCCTATTGACTCACCCTGTATTCCATCAGGGGATAACAATGGAGTAGATAGATGCTGAGCTCGCCCGAAAGGGGGATTTTAACGAAAGCTTCTAGGCAGGACAGCATCAATTTGACGCCTTTCCCTGTCTCAGTAAATGAAGACTGGGGATTGAGATGCATAAAATTGGTTAGGTTTTAGAGGAGATGGGGATTAAGGGGAGGTAGAGGTGCTCTGATGGATCAGTGAGACACATGCTCGTTCTCTGTGCCTGGTGATTGATGCTGGAGAGAAGTTCAGAAATGGCCCGGTCACACCTGCAGATTTTAAAGAGAATTCCCACTGAATTTCTCCCTAAAAGCGCTTGATTTTTTTTTCTTACAAGGGTTGACCTTCAGTTCAAACTCCACGCAGTCCAAACATCTCTGCAGGCTCAAAGTGGCCCAAAGAAGCCCTGGATGTAATTTCTGGACCCTTTGGTGCTTAGCAACCCAGCAAGCACTTAGCAACATCGTGAGGCAGCCAAGCGGTTGCAGGGTTCAGGTTTTCTCCGTGGCGAGTGAGGAAGGGAAGGATTAGAGCCTTAGCCGGTGAAAGGGATCCCCACTAAAGTAAAAGTGTAGCTGGGTGTAAGTGTGCGTGGGTACAGGATGATATGTGTCCTTCCTTAAGGACCACATGGCTTCCTCTAAGGACCCTGTGGTGAACGTCACACAGAAGCCTTGTGAAAGGGCCAAGGGGTCAGCGTGGCATTCAGTTCTCGCCGTTGTGCTATAGCTTGCGTAAGAGAACGGCAAAGCGCTCCTTTGAAGGCATTGGAGGCAGACGAAGCAGGGAAGTCCTTGGTGGGCCCAAAGCAGAGATCCCAGCTATTCTCGCTCCTAGTGTATACCCCCATGGTCCCTGCATGTCATGACCCTCCGGATCCTACGAACACGTCTATCCCAGCTCTGCCACGGAACTCCACTGGTGAGGTCTCTCTGAATGTCCTACAGAGTGGAATGCAGCGCTGACTTGGGGAGCACAGGGGACAGAAGATCCAGTGCTTACCTTGTGGCACACAGCTGTAAGGAGGGCTCAATGTCATTTTCTCCCTTGAACCAGAGCTTTCGATTCTGGTAAGTAAGTGAAAGCATGCTGTGAGGGGATATAGCTTGGTCAGTAGAGTGCTTGCTTAACCTGTGTGAAGCCTTGAGTTCTACCCATAACACTGTATAAGCTGGGTGCAGGGGTGTTTATCCCTGTAATTCCAGCATTCAGGAGGTAGAGGCAATAGGATCATAAGTTCAAAGCCACTTCTGGCTTACACAGAAAGTTCAAGGCCAGGCTGGGCTACGTGTGACCCTGCCTTTGAAAAGCTATCTGACCCATTACCAAGGATGCTTGTCAGGATCTACTCGATCAATTTTCGTTTTAGGAAATGTGGGGAACCAACGAAAATAAAGACACCATGCTTTTTGTCTTTTATTAAAAGGACTTTAAAAAATATGCATCAGAGACTGAACTTGGAAATGTTGACTTCTCAATGATCTGACTGTCTCTTCATGTTCAGAGAAGCAATGGTACGTGGCTAGGAAATGATACACGTTTTGACGTGCTGGAGGCCCTGCCAACAAAGCGAATGTCAAGATTCACCTGGGTGAGACGTGGGGTTCTAAATTGTGAGCGCTAACGAAGAGGAAGTCAGCAGCTGCTGCTATTCCTGTGGCTCCTATCTGGGCTTCTCAGTCAGATGTGAGCTGTTGCTTCGAAGAAAGGCAAACAAACCACCATTTCCGTTACTGTTTATTTGCGGTGGAGAGAAACTTCCATTCTACCCATCCCCAAGGTGATGCTAAAAAGAGCACGGTGGAATGCAGGAAAGACAGCTGCTGCTTGAATGGCCAGTGAAGAGAGTCCCTTCTAGAAGCAACCCGTCGCTTCGTGACACACTCAATAATACCTTTCAGGTTAACAAACTTAGGAATTTGGTAAAAGTATGAAAAAGAAAACTGGCAAATCTCAGGATTTTATCAGTTGCACTTCATTTTTTTTTCCTTTCTTTTTTACAGAAATGTCAAAGAAAAACTTAAATACATTTGAATGAGCTGTAAGGTCAGACTGGATACTAGAAATACGAACATATGCAGTGCATATATATATACTATATATACACATATATTATATATATGTACATAAGTTAGAAATGTAAATAAAATCTATCTTAATTCAGAGACTTCATGGTTTTAGTATCATCTGAAGCCTTTACCTGTTTCTGCAGTCAGATTTCCACGCATGTACCCTAACCCCTTCTAACCTAATAAGAAATGTCTAGATCTAAATAATAGTTTGCAAGGGATTCATAGCTCTTCAATTGTAGGTTAAGATTCTTACTTTCTAACGTTGAGGGTATTTTAAAAAACCGTTCAGGAGTGTCAGCTTGTCTATAAAGATGATTCTGATGGAAGGAGGGACGTCATGCAAGTGTACCCTCTGCTTCCTTGTTTAAGAGAGGCTTTCCTAGGGCAAATAGGCTCTCTTTCCATACCTGTCTTCGGCCTGGTATTGCATCCCTTCTAGAGAGTATTCACCCCATTTGATGGCAATATTCAATGGACAGGCACCGATAGCCTTGAATGGCATTAAGCACTCATTTAATTCTATATGGGGCTTGTTATGATCAAAGATAATACCTAACTCACACAATGGTCCTAAGGACAGAGTGGATGAGTGGGATGTATTCAGAAGAAAGAAGTTAAAGAGTGATGTACTTGCAGTTTAGGGATGGTGACAGACACCTCCCCCCCCACTATACCATGCCAGGCTGTGGGCTGGGGTAAAAATTGGAATGGCATGGCATCTTTCCCAATGGAATTCTGACTCATGACGTTAATGGGCCCCAAACTCCAAGTGTCTATCAGACTAAGATAAGAAGTGGGGCTAGGAACATTGGGAGACCACACATCTGGCTGGAGAGAGCAGGGATAACGACTTCAGTGTCTTTTGGAACAGAGGCCCGAGGCTACCAAATGTGGCTTCTCAAAAGAAGTCACATCCAGCCTAGTGGCATAGGCCTATAAGTTGACAAGGCATAGAAGGCTTTCAAGGTCAAGGCCAGCTTGGACAAGCTAGTGAGACCCTGTCTGAAAAATATCAAAAGAAGGCAAGAGTACTGCTCAGTGGTAGGTTACTTGTTTAGCATGCATGAGGCCTTAGGGTCAATGTCCAGAACAACAACAAAAACGTAAAAATCTTGAGTTACTAGTAAAATTTCTCAATTTGTAAGTTTTGACAAATGTCACTTAAACATGTGAGAGCTGATCTCAAATACAACAAAAACCCAAACCGCCAAAAAAAAAAAAATCCCCAAAACCAATGACAAAAAAACTACACAAATGCTTTATGGGCTAAAAGCAATTGCATGGGAGGCTTCCTGGGAGCCCCAATCAATAACTTCTTGACACATTGGCTGTATAAACCCCAACTTCTTTTGTAGGACACACATGAGTTTATGCAAAGGTGGGTGTTTTCAGGGGAGGATGGAATGTTCCAGACTATTGCTTTAGTGATCAGAGGCACACATGGGACCCCTGCGACTTATGGGTTAGACAGCTGTGCTTTGCCAGAGGACACAAGGACACTGTAGAGCCCAGGTAGTTGAAGAGTTGAACACAATTTATTTTATGCTTAAATAATTGACTAGGTTATCCAGCATCCGCTTCTCTCATACATGTTATCTAGAGCTAGGTGTCCATGGAGGCCAATTTCAAGTGAAGATAGTGAATAAAGGAACCTCACCGAAACCCAAAGAAAAAAATGCCCTATAAAACGCAGCCTTACTAACCTAACACTGCGAGGGTGGTTACAAGTGATTGGCTTACTGAAAAGGGTCTACATCTCAGAGCCAGGACACAATAACAGTGAGTTTTTTTTTTTTCTTTTGTGACAGTGTGCTGCCATTCTCCTAGATACGGGTTTCTGGTCAGTCCATTTTTAAATGCCCATGACTGGGGCCTCTTGTGAGCACCATCCACCTCTACAGTGGCAAGCATTTCCCCTGTAAGCGCTAACAGCCCCCCCTCCCACCCCCAAGCAACTACTGTATAGTTTCATGTGTGTGTGTGGTTTTTTTTTCCATTTTTGGTCATTTCATTGAAAAATTGGCAATAGCAACAAATATTAGATGAAGGGCTTTGTGTTTACAGGTAAAATCTCCCGTGTTGCAGGAGACTGTAGTGTTTGCAAAATTGGAAAAGGTTTAATCAAAATAAGGTGATATGCATGCATCAAAATATTAGTATTCTGAAGAAAAAAATTTTTTTCACAGAACTACAGAATTCCTCATTTGGGGAATTATTTAAATTTGCAGCAGATTTTTTTTTAAAGGTTTGCATTTTCTTTTTAAAATCAAGCTAGCAGTTTTGCGTGTACAAACATTATAATTGCTAATATACAAGAGTCAGCGAAGAGTTCCCACACATCTCAGGTCCTCCTCTGTGTCCAGGGCGAAGTCACTTGGGACTCCTATTGTTAGATGCGGCGTGGTATCTTGTCTGTGTCCTATGAGGCAGGTGCCTATCAACATTTATCCTATTTTTTTGTTGTTGTTAGAATTTACAGTGTTATTATTTACAGCAAAACTACTGATGTTTATTTTTTTCTTTAAAAAAAAAAACAAATAGTGTTTATACCCTGACAGATTTGGGTCCAAGAAAAATAAGGCGAGCTGTTGTGGATTCAGTAATTTTAGAGTTTCTTTCTTGATCTGTCCATGCCATCTTCTGTCCCTCCTGGCACACAGTTGTGTTTTCTGTTCTTTGAAAATGACACCAAGTTACTTGAGATCAAGTCTGAACAACATGGCTTCTTGTATCTTATACTGCGTTGCTGAGTACACACGTGTCAATCCTGGGAATGAGAGTGAGTTTCCATGCTCTGTAAATTGGCTCATGCTAAATAAAAAATGTGAGTAGATTTTTTTCTTCTTTTCCTTTTGCATTAAAAAAAAATCACGTCATTGATGTGTGGAGGCAGCAGCCCCAAACTCCCTTCTCTTGGTAAATATTTTCCTTCTGGCTGATCTCTGGTGAATTTCTCAATACTGGCAGTACGAACATGATCCTGTGGAAAGAGAAACAGCAGGCAGTGAGTTTTGTTTTCATTCTGGTTTTTTTTTTTTTTTGCTTTGTTTTGTTTTTGAGACAGGGTGTCATGTAGCCTAGGTGTGCCTTGAACTTGCTATGTAGCTTAGGATGACCTTGAACTCCTGATCATCTTGCCCCAATCACAGTGCCTAGGTTGTATGGCATGGGGTCTGAAACCTGGGCTTCCTGCATGGTAGCACTTAACCATCCGAGACACATCCCTCACCTTGTTTTTGTATTTAAGGAGAATTAATCTATGACGTCCTTGTTCATCATACAGGATTCAGAGAACAAGGGCCCAGTTCTTGTCAGCAGGGTGTGCAGGCTGCCTGGGAAATCCCTCAGCAGACCGGACTGTAGATCATCGGTTCTCAAACTTCGGGGCACAACCCATACGCGAGTTGCATACTAGATATTTTATATTACCATTCATCACGGTAGCACAATTACAGTTATGAAGTCACAACAAAATGGCTGCAGGCCACCACAACATGAGGCCCTGTATTAAAGGGTCGTAGCATTAGGCAGATTGAGAACCACTGTCCTGGGGTGTCTTCAGGAAATGGTCCGAAGTCAAGATGAGAAGCTGACAGGCTGGAATTCCAGTGCGAGGCAGGAAGGATGGTAAGAAAAACAAACAAACAAACAAACAAACAAACAAAAACCACCTATTCACTTACAAACAGCCAGTTCTTTTCTTTAGCTTCTGCCAGGGACAGAGGTGTCCTGGGGACCTTGAGCTTGTTTGCCCAGACAGGTTTCTTCCTCTGGATGGATTACCCTTGACATCCTGCCCCGTGTAAACACCCTGAACAACTCTTCCCGTCTCCTCTTATGGGTCTGGCTGCCTTTTGCATCTGTGTTTGCTACTGACCTCCCTGCCCCAGGTCGCCAGTGATCAGAGCCAAGAACACCAAAGAACTCACTCCCCTGAGATGTCAACACTTGCCCTCCTCCAGGGAAGGAAAGTGACTCACTCCAGTAGGTCCAGTGACAGAGAGAGGTGGGCAAACCCTGTCGATCATGATTTTCACACCTTGGTCTCTGTCATTAAATCCTAATCTTCCAGGCACCAGGCTGCTTACATGGCTCTGTGATCATGTCACCCTCTTCATTCAGGGAGGACAAATTCCCAGCGCTGTTCCCTAAACTTTCCCTCATGTCTCCCAGCTTCCTGGAATGTAAGTTTTTATCGTACCATGCTTTTCTAGGACATAGTTTAGTAATCTCTACTAAGTGTCCATAAACACGAGACTACTCCCATCTGTTTGCCTACATTCTCTACTAAACTAATTTCCCAAGTTAATTTTGTATTACAAAACAAAGCCTTTGTCTTCCCAACATAAGTCAACATTTTGTCTTTCTAGAGTGGGTACGTTTTTAACTACAAGATTCGGTTAATTATGTCCTTCCATAAGGTGGCTATTTTTTAAAAGCCGTAGTTTCCTTCAAATCTTTCTTGTTCGCAGTCAGGCAGCCAGAATGTAGGTTCCAACTCCTTGGGTACGGGAATGCTAATGGATGGATAACATTTTATATAAACATTTTATGCCAAGAACAGTGCCTCGCCAAGAGGATGAGAACCTTGGCTAAGTAAGCAACTGCTAGAAAATGAAATGTGATGAGAGCACCCTCTGGTGGATGGGATGTTGTGAGGCCAGGCGCCAGGGTGATGCCATTACAGAACCTCCTCTGAGTGTAGTTAATTAACAGAAGGGACTTAGGACACATGGGTTTGGTACAGCCTTTCATATGTGAAGGTGGGAGAAATCCACAGCCATGCCCATGCTTTTACACTAATGTATTTCATTTTAAGAGGCATTTTAACTGATACTTATAGATCACAGCTCCAGGTCCAGTATAGGCTCTGGTGCAGAACTGAGAAGCCTCTGGAAATACTCAGCTCTTTTACTTATTTTATTTTTTGTATACCTGCAGCACTCAGTAGTCCAGCCGAGCGCACAACTGGGAAGTTCATCACCCATATCCTCTACTTAAGGCACCTTCTCAAACTGGGCTGCACAATAGGATTTAATACTTCGCAATGCCCAGTTCACACCCACAGGGGCCAGCCAGTGGTGAAGACGACAATCGCCCCCCTCCAAACTGTTTTGTTGGTTCTGGCGTTGGGTCAAGCCCAAGCGGTAACAATGGGTCCTGCTGGCATGCTTCCCGAGGTTTAACATGCACATGGCCACCTGGGGTTGACCTACACTCGAGACTTCTGGCTTTATAGATCAAGGGTAAGCCTAGACATTCGTTTCTAAAGCCTCATGTACTGCTGCTACCACTCTTTGCCTCCAGTTCTACTTTGGGATTCAGACGGCACGGCCCATCAGCTACAAGCAGCATTTCAAATCATCTGCGCTCCTGAGTTCGTATCTACTTAGACTCTCCTTCTCTAATCAACACGTATGGAATTCCTCCCCATTCTTCAAGCTCCTCTTAAATCTCATCTCCTTGAAAGTGCAGACCCCAGGCTCTAAAGAGACAGATCCACCTTTGCAGATGGCCTCTCATTTGCCGGACTCCACGGGGTCTGCTGTGTGCACACAGAGAATTCTGCTCCATTCTTCCCCACCTTACCCCCCCATCCTCCCCCCTTCCCTTCTCTTTACCATGTGGCTAAGAATTTTGTGCTATGTTTTAATTTAGCCTGTGTGTGCATATACATGTGCATGGCACAACCTACGTGTGGAGGTCAGAGGACAATTTGTGAGAGCTGGTTCTGTCCTTCTACCATGTGGGTCCCGGGGATTGAACTCAGGCTGTCGGGTGTCTTAGTTACATTTACGTTGCTGTGCTGAGACAACATGACCAAGGGTTTCTGGGGGGCTTCAAGTTTCCGAGGTTGAGCCCAAGACTATCACTGCAGGGAGCATGGCAACAGGCAGGCTCTCAGATAGACTGAGAGCTTACATTTTGATCCACAAGCAGGAGGGAGGGAGGGAGGGAGGGAGGGGGAGAGAGAGAGAGAGAGAGAGCTAGCTAACTAGGAATGGTGTGGGTTTTTGAAACCTCAAAGCCCACCCCAGTGAAACACTTCCTCCAACAAAGCCACACCTCCAAATCCTTCCCAAACAGCTCTACCAACTGGGAAGCAAGCATCCACATATGAGCCTATGGGCGCCGTCCTCATTCAAACCCCCACACCAGGCTTGGTGGCAAGCACCCTTTCCTGTGGAGCCATTTTGCTGACCCATATTCTTGTTTTTTAAAAATAATAGTTTTCATTACAATAGGAAACCATAATCTAAAATTAAGATTTGTTTTTCTTTGAGTTTTGGTTTTGTTTTTTAGGTTTTGTGTTTGTTTTCTTTCTGAAGACCGAGGCTCATATAGCCAAGGCTGGCCTTGAACTCTGGGTCTTCCTGTCTCTATCCTCCAGGTGCTAGAATTACAGACAGGCACCAGCAGACTTGGCTTAAAAACTTAGTTTAAAATAGCTCCCTTCTCAGAACAGATTTCCTCTTCAGCTAAAAGCAATAAATGAGGCCTTTTTGAACTTGTTCTTTCCCAGTGACTTGAGTTAAAAAACATCCGATGCTGCACAGCCAGTTGGAAAAAGTAAACACACGGGGAACAGGCTAATGCATATTTTTAAAGAGAAAGAAAATGCATTTCTTTGCTTTTTATTAAGTGTTTATTGCATACCTCGCACTGTTCTGAGGTGAACTACATCAGTCCTAATAACAGGGCAGTATTATGTCCCCTACTGCATAGGTAATTAAAAAGGCAAGAGTTTTAGCAAGGGCCACACACTACCTGCTTTCAATTCTGTCTCCAGCATGTATCAGGAAAACAGACAGAAAACTATCTGTGCCTTAGTTGCATTCTGGGAAAATGTCCCAGAGACGGGGGCCTGAGTGGGATGAGCTACTTCAGTCTGTGGAGGGGCGAGGCGGGGTGGTTGCCACCTCCTCCGGCTTCATCTTGGGTCTCTTTTTGCTTGGTACAAAGGCACAGACACCTGAGGCTTTACTGACTGCCTCAGCTGACTGCGAACCACGGATAGTGAATGCTGTAAATCCCCTTCACCCGAGGAGGGGCTGGGTGGCTCGGCTGCTGTGACTTGTCCCGAATGCGGCCGCACTGCCTGGCTTGGCAGGCTGCTAGTCTGATTTCCTTCTTGCTTTCCCTAATACTTTTATAATAGCGCCTCCTAATTGAGGGTTTCTGGGGGTCTCAGGAGCCACTGCTACTAAGCAGTTGACTTGTATGAACTGACCGAATTCTAAAACAACCCCGAGATGTGTTACTTTTGTCCTTCTACAGAGGGTTTTTGTTGCTCATCCAGGCTTCATTACAAACCCTTTCTCTGTTCCACTGGGGAAATGACAACAAACATTAGGTAACTTGACCAAACCCATGTAGGCAGCAAGCTACTTGGCATCCCTACTTACTGTCACCTCTGTGTCACCAACGGCTGCATTGAAATCTCCCAGGCCAGAATGATTGCCATTGGGAATCACCGTTGGCCACTGAGTCCCCTAAGCCTCACAAAATAGTCTTGCTGCAACTGCTAAGGAGCTAGGGTTACCTGCATCTCCCAGCTCTCGGGGAAGACTATATGAGGATGAGTGCGTGCTGCTGGGGATCGAATCCGCACACAGCCTGTGCATGCTGGGGGAGTACTCTACCACTGAGCCATTGACCTAGTACTTAGAGGTCAGGCTATTGCAAGGTTGGGTTAGACTGGACTACAAAGTAAGAGCTCTCCAAAGGCCGTGGGCTGTGCCAGTCAACTCAGTGGTAGAGCTGTTGTCTCGAATGTCTAATCGTTTCCTTTTGGTTTTAGGGTAAAAACCAGAATCCCACAGGTGAGTAACTGGAGTTCACTTAAGCTCAGCTTACTTCTGTCTTTGGGGACCCTCCCCTCCCTGCCAGGTCAGGTCTACAGTGAGCCCCAAGGATGAGCATTCTGGAGGTAGCCTGTTAGGGTTTATTTCCTAGTTCTGCCACTTTTAAGTAATGCTGGGAAATTTTCTTAACCTCTTAGGGGCCTGTTCCTTATGTTAACCAGGGATGCTAATGACACCAATCCAAGAGGCGAGGCTGTGAGAACTAAAGAGCCACAAAGAAACACACAGAGAATTCTGTTTCCAGAACATCTGTCTTCTTCGTCTTCTCGTCTTCTCGTCGTCGTCGTCTTCTTCTTCTTCTCCTTCTCCTTCTCCTCCTTCTCCTTCTTCTCCTTCTTCTTCTCCTCCTCCTCCTCTTCTTCTTCTCCTCCTCCTCCTTCTTCTCCTCCTCCTTCTCCTTCTTCTTCTTCTCCTCCTCCTCCTCCTTCATCATTTTCAATTTCATCAATGGTCACAACATGAGGACTGGCTCCCACCCAAAGTCCACAATTTGAGTCTAGTGCAGCAGGCATCATGGGATTTCTGATTCCACTGAAGGCCTCACAGAAGTGAATGGAAAGATACTGCACGGCATATACTGACAGGGTGTTTTGTCGGGCAGAGCTAAGGATCTACTTGGGAGGGTGGAGATGTATCTCAGATGTGAAGCAGTTCCCAAACACGCATGAAGCCCTGGGTTTGATCCCTAATACTGCATAAACTGCAGGTGCCATGCTGCTGGTCTGGAATCCTAGCAATCGGGAGGGGGGACTCGGGAGGATCTAGCCTTCAGGGTCATCCTCAGGTATACAGGAAGTGCAAGTCTGGGCTCCAAGAGACCCCGTCCCCAAAATAAAATACAATTCTATCTGAGCCTTAGGGACCTAAAACAAATTTATTTCCCAGTTCCTTATTTCTGCCCTCAAATGTCAGGGTTCTTTGTTGGCAGGGGAGGACAGATAAGAAAATCAGACTAGAATTCCCACTCTTTGTCACTTTGACCCAGGGGCTGGAAGGATCCAGAAGTGAGGCCCCGAGGACATAACTTTCCAAAGCTGTTTTCTCACCCTAAATTAGCTTTCTGATTGAATCTGTATTAAAAAAAAACAAAAAAAAATCACGACAAAGTACAAACAAATGTGTAAACTCAGCCCACTTATTAAATATTTAACTTAAAAAAGAGCCCATCTGGTCAATCTCTTAATTGTGCCTAGGTTTACATAAAATTTTAAAAAATGTATGTATCCAATTCTATTTAACTTGGGCTTGGTGACAGCTGTGTTTTAATCAAAACTGCTGGCTTTGAGCACAGTCCATTGGAAATGTAGCTTGGCAGTCTTCCCACTGGAAATGGCTGCTGCCTGTCATGGGGAGCCTCATGCTAAAAAGAATAGGAGATGTGAATCCTGTTTACACCTGCTTCTGCAGATGCCATACACATGGAGAATTTTTATAGACCCAACTAGAATTAAAGTTTAATGTGTATATGTATGTATGTATGTGCATATACACGTGTAGATACACACACACACACACACACACACACACACACACCTGTACCCATATACAGAAACTGAGCAGGGATGAGTTCAAAGTTTGTCCCAGTGAAAAAAGAGAAAGGGAAGATGTGAATCACCTATCTAGGGAATCTAGAAAGTTCTTGAGATTTTTATGTGCACTGCTGACATGAGTACATTTCCCACCTGGACTGACGTCACTGTCACTAATGGGTCTTCTTCTCCACGTTCCGAATTTCTTTCTTCGTCTTCATTTTGTAGCCTTCTCCCTGCTAAAGGAGAGCACAGGTTACAGTTTTGCAGTGGAAGAGTTGGGAAGCAGTTCCCACGCTGGTCCCTGGAGGCTGCTTGAGGAAGGAGTATTAGTGAGAGCCCTAGACCACTTGATATCCTCAGACATAGACAATCTGCTTGGCTTCACTGCACAGACCAGCTCACCATGGCCACAGCATGCGACAGCACTTTCAAGGTAACTACGGCATAATGAGACTTCACAGCACAGGGGGTTAATGATTTCAAAAAGCACCCAGCCCGTTTCCTACACAGGGTGGAAGAAAACATCATTGACACTCACAAGGCACCCGGACCCCAACGGTTAAAAATCATAACCTATGATTTTTTTTGTCAGCCAGCAAAACTGTAACTAGTTTGTTGTATTATGACAGGGACTTCTCAAAAATAAACACCAAGCAGGAACTAGATGCCATGGATGGTCCGACTGCTTCTCTTTGCTTAGTTTATGCAATTACCAACACTGTCCTCTCCATCTTGGTCCCAGACAGCAGCAATTTCTGCAGATGGGGGCTGTCTTCCTCAACTATCATGTGTACACGTCTCTGTGAGCGAGGCGCTTCACATCTAGCGTTTCCTTTAACAGGAGGTGTGGGGTGGGTCTTTCTTCCTTTCTCACCCGGTCCTCAGTACTCCAGTTTGTCTTTTTCTTACGTAAACATAATGTTTAATACGTATCTTTCTGCCTTTAAATGTGATAAAGATTTGGGAAACAGCAAAGCATAACAGCAAGGTGTCTTTGTCAGGAAAGGGCTTATTTGCCGAGCCACCCTCACAATTGCAAGTTAGGTTCTGCCTCAGCAAGTTGGACTCGGGGCATCACAACTCAGAACATTTTGCTACAGAATGTGATGGGCAGGACAACCACATCGACCCGATGTGAAAATTGTGAGCCAGACTCTTTGCTACTGTAACCGTGTCCTCCCTCAGTGTCCCAGACAGGCATCCAACTGAAGGCCCAATGTGGACGCTCTCAAGGGGGCTGTTGGTGACCAAGCATTCTGCCTTCTCTTTCTCCTTCCAACTGGAACATTTTTTTTTGTCCCTGATAAATGAAACTATCTCTGTGTGATCATTCCGACGACAGTAAGTGTGTAACATTCAGATGTGGCATGAAGAAAAGTGGTTGGACCCTGTCCAATGCCTACGGTCAGAAGAAGCCCACACAACACTCCAAGCTTCCACGCGGCAGCAGCCACTCTGTTAGCAAGGCTTCCCAGGGGGCTCACAGAGATGCTGCCCTCTACTTTCTCCTTGGCAATCACGCTACATTACCACTTCATCCTGCTTCCTCTCTTGTGGACCAATCCGTCTTATTACTTTCCGAGTGATCTGTTGGAAGCAACAGAGAGAAGTAGGGACTATTCTGTGTCACGAGGGGCCGCTATAACCTATTGCAAACAACGGTGTTTCTCATGCAGGGCATTTAAACTCCATAAGTATGAAATCTCAATGGCGATTACTTTTCTGGTGATGAGGTTGCCTTCTTCATCAGTAAATTGTTCTTCTGTGACGGATTCGCCAGGGATGGTTTTGGCTTCCTCGCCCTAAAGGATGCGGCATAAAGATTAGCGACGGGAGAGAGGAGAGTGTGGGTGGGTGTTGATCCAGGTCCACAGCACACCACACAGCATACCACACAGGCCCTGGAGCTGCAGAGCAGACACAAACTGTTCTTCCCTCTCCAGGGAAACACAAGACTGACTTCATAGCTGGTTAGTGAATTGTTGATAACCTTCAGTCTTACACCTCGAGCATGTATTCAGGCATATGTGGTAGTTGGCAACAAATTCCAAGAAAATAGATAATTTTCAGATGCAGTTAACCACAGGAAAGCCAAGAGACTTTATGGTTTGAAACAAATATTAGTCAATGATTAGCAGTAGGAACAAACCAACTCACTCAAGCACAGCATAGTTATCGGTCACAGCATAGCTCGAGAGACTTTTATGGAGTGAGTTCTATCCAATTTGAATAAAGACAGTTTTTAAGCTGGGAAAAGATAACTTAAAAAATCATGTACTAAGGGAAATACATTAAAAATGATTATGAAAAACGTTCAGGGTAGAGAAAGTCTCATTTGCGGGGATGGAGGATGGGGGCTGAGGTTTTCATAGATCATACATGAATATATATGTGGTGTGGTGTCCAACCACCCACACTACCATAGGCCAACAGGGCAGAAAGCTCATCTGGCATTATTGATTCTTTCATTAGTAGCTACCCTCTCTCTAATTTATTAGAGTAGGAACTGCCAAAGGTTTTCCGAGATCACCCTTAGTCCCGCGTCTGTATAATTTTGGTTGACTCAATGGAGACAGAAAAGGAAATAGGCAGAGTGTAGAGGTCGAACATCCAACACTGAAATCTTCAGCAAATGTTTCATGGGGAAGCTATTTCCTATGACTGGCTTCACATACTTAGCAAACATGCCATCTTATTTTAGAGATAAAGGCATAAAGTGCCAATAAAAGGTCATGGGAGGTTTTTACTGTAGTCAGAGCATGAATGGATAGAGCATTTCTGATCACCCAACTTTCTGAGTGGTACATAAGGAAAGACCTTAAGAGATTCCAGCAAGCCGGGCGGTGGTGGCGCACGCCTTTAATCCCAGCACTCGGGAGGCAGAGGCAGGCGGATCTCTGTGAGTTCGAGGCCAGGCTAGACCGACAGCCTCAAAAACAATACAGAGAAACCCTGTCTCGTAAAAACAAAAACAAAAACAAAAAAGAGATTCCAGCAAGACAGAAATGCATTTACCATGCTGAGTGAGCCCTTCTGTGGGAAGATGCTAATTTTGAAATTGTTTAAGGAACCTTGGGAAGGAATGGGGGAAGCAGGTATGGATGTAAGCACAAGCAATATGCACAAAGTGAACCGTTGACTTAGATTAATACCTCTGGAAGACTCAAAGCCCCACTTATCAATAACGAGCCATATTGCTTCTTGCAAATGTTCGGAAGGTGAGCACTTTGTCTCCCTACTGAAAATGTATTCTTTGCATGCACAGTCAAAGATGCAGATAGCTCTCTTTGAGACCGAGACAAGTTGTCTAATAATGTAGCTCCTCATTACATTAGAGGAGTAGATTGTATTAGAAGGCCAGTAAAGGTTTATGGAATAGGTATTTTTAAAAAAAATCTATGCCTTTTTACCTCTCCATCAATTATGTTAGAGGTCTAATGGTCTCAAGGAGGGGTCTCTGGAACCACTTTAATGGAGGGAAAACAATTGCTAATTAGCTTTTGAAGACTATTGTGATTTTACATAAACAAAATCCCCTCTCCACTTAGTCCTGTTTACAAGAGTATTTCTGGCACCCTACCCCCATTTTGAAGAGATACCATGGGGCATATGTTTGGGGTCTTCATCTCTAGTGGTCTCTTTAAGGATGACACAATGGAATTTCTTCTTGCACCCCTTTAAGATGCATCACACTTTTTCTTTTCTTTCCTTTCCTTTCCTTGACTTCTATGAATATAGGGGATGACAGTACAAGGTGTGCTTGTTTGCCTTGATGTACATAATACAATGTGAATTTCAAAACCAGAATGGATGTTATATATTTTGCGAAAAGCAACCATCTCTCTAGTAGGCAACCCATTGTGTTGGTTAGTTTTCTGTCAACTTGACACAGGCTATCTTCATCTGAGAGGAAGGAATCTCAGTTGAGAAACTGTCTCCATGAGACTGGGCTGTAGGCAAGTCTGTAGAGCATTTTCTTAATTGGTGATTGATGTGGGGGTGCAGTGCATTGTGGGTGGTACCACTCTAGGTTAGTGGTCCTGGGTTCTATAAGAATGCAGGCTGAACAAGCCAGTAAGCAGTTTCTACATCAGCTCCTTCTCATCTGTCTCTACCATCCCTACAGAAAAATACTAACCAGAAAGCATCTTACATGTGTCAGGTTTGTTGAACTTTCTGTAATAATCAAGGTAACTTAACTTTCGGTTTCTCTAGCAGAGTGAAAGGCATTGCTCAGAGAGGCTCTGTAGTGACTTTACTCTTCAGATGATGCTCTTCCCATCTCCAAGACCATCCTCTGATGTTATCACTTATTCCCTCTCTCAAAAAGGAGCCCAACTTCAGGGAGTGGGCATTTGGATGGAATATAGATCCATGCCTCAAGAAAACTATGGCCTTCTAGTTGATTTTAGGGTTTCTAACATACCCTCTTAAAAATACATGAATGCTGTATATAATTATTCATATGTTAAGCTCAAATTCACATGATACTCAAACTAATAAAACTACTTAGAGATTGACCTGTTGATACGTGTCTAGAATGTTAGGGAACCAAAGAATCTTTATCCACCCAGAGGTGTGGCCGTTGCTGTGTGGGTCCTCTTTATTCCCTCCTGCTGATTTCATTGTAGAATTCAGCCAGCAATTAGAAAAGGCAGCTACTGGACAAGATTGGGTGAAGCAGCAGAAGGCTGCCACATGGGTAGCATGAAAAACAAGTTGCCTAGTGGTACCTCCCATTTCTTTTCTCTAGATGTTTTCCTTGTATCATTCATGAGAGCAAGCAAGGAGGCTAGATAAACCTGAGTCCCTGCTCTGCCATCTCAGAAATATGCAAGCTATGCCGCACCGTGAGGATTTTATAGACAGCAGACCAAATACTAATTGTCCTAGCCAGTTAGGATTTCCACAGAAGTGACTCATGGTTTGGACAGCATTTGGGGTGCTCACTCGCTGTCAAGTTTGGAGGATAGCTCAAACCTTAGAAAGTCACTTAAGGTCGAATGATTTTAGAATCTTTGAAAATTGTATTTGAGCAGATCTGACAGGTTCCCTCCCATCTTTTCGTGAAGAAATACGAAGGAGAAGGATTCTGAAATGTAGGGAGCCAGTAGCATATGCCTTAATCCAGGCAGTTCTCTAACTTTGAGGTCAGCCTGGTCTACAGAGCTAGTTCTAGGACAGCCAGGACTGTTACACAGAGAAAGCCTGTCTTGAAAAAAAAAATCACAAAAGAAAAAACAAAGCAAAACAACAATGTAGGGAAACCAGTTAAGTGAGCTTCTTAGCTTCTCTTCTGACAGCTGGGATTGCGTGAGTTTGATACACATCGTTTAAGTTTAATGTGCACTTCTCCTTTCTGTCTCTGCAGAGATACCTGCAAAAGAAGTCTCAGGCCGCGTGAATCACTCTGGGTGTTGAGAATGCCTCTCCTGCAAGGTTCAGGTGGGCCTTGCCATGCGTAGGTGAGCCCTCACACAGACCGTCACAGGGGAGGTAATGCAGACACACGTCAACTTCAACTGCGCTCTAGCGAAAGCTGCTCCCTAGACTTAAAATTTTGGCTTCACTTTTGGCACGTGTTAGCAGAATTAGACCCGGTTCCTGGAGCTTCCCTTTGACTTGCACCGTGTCACACACATCCATGCCAGGCTGGGACCTAAACTCCCAAGTCACTGCCTAACAATGAAGAGCTGACTTTCGTTTCCAAGACGGGGCAGTGGGAGGCCTTGGTGCTTCCCTCTCCTCCTCGTTAGATTCTGGTATTATTAACTGAGCGCCGTGTTCACCGGGAACTATGTTCTGACTACACAAGTCCTTGTATTCTGAGGAAGGCAAGATACAAATGCCAAGACTTCTCAGACAGAATCAAAGCTGCCTTGTGTCCAACAGGCCTGCGCAGAACACACACTAACACACAACATGGCTTTATTTTGGGTGGTTCTTTGACAAGCTTTCAAATGTGCAGAGAAAGAGAGAGCCAGCTGGTTAGCAAACATGCTGAACTTCCCAAAGTGCATTAAAGGTTTCTAGACGCAGCAGCACCCCATTGCTTCTGCCTGCTGGTACCTTTATAATCACACGCCGACGAATGACTCTGGTGGTGACCCTCGGCTCCTCCTCTGAGCTTGAACAACTCTCACTGTTTCTAAAGTCCTGATAAATGCATTTTTAGTATAATTTTATCATCATATTGAAAACAAAAGACACTCCGAGAAGGGAAATCAAGAGTTATATTTACTTATTTCCCTCCTCCTAAGGAATAGCGTGATACATATTTAAGAGAATCCTGAAAATTGAAAGAAAATGTTTGAACAAGACTCATACTGGTTTTATAGATCTTTGTGTGTGTGAGTGGGTATGTCGCTGCATGTTCCTGAATGCTTGTATGTGTATGTGAAGCATGAACACACATGTGCATGTGTGTGTGTTTGTGCATGTGTACGACTGGGTGTTCCTCTGTGTGCCTGTGTGTGTACATATAATGTGTGCATGTGTGGTAATTAACCAGGTGGTGATAGCACACACCTTTAATCCCAGCACTCAGGAATCAGAGACAGGTGGATGAATCTCTCTAAGTTCAAGACCAGCCTGGTCTACTGAGGGAGTTCTGAGACAGCGAAAGCTACACAGAGAAACCTTTCTTGAAAAGCTAAATAAACAAGCAAACAAGCCCCCCCCCAATGCAATTATAGTCTGTTGACAATATAGCCTTTTTGGCCTTAAAAACTACATGCTATTAGTTTGATGAGTTCTTTGTATTCCTAAAATGCCCTTGTTTGATTTGAACATAGATTTTGTACCTTAGGTCATAGCTCACTTGCTCTTTATAGGAGGAAGCAGGTGTGATTTTTACGGAATTTTGGTTGAATTGGTTAACTTTCAGCGAAAGCTGTCTTTGAGGTAGACACCAGCACTTGTCTACACTGGGGAATTATCATCCACACAAGGTGTTCAGTAAGAGCTTTTGCCAACAAATGAGGGAGTAAAGACTTCTGAGCACCTGAGAACTTTAGTAAAGACCCAGAGTGAAATGACAGAGTAAGATGGAGCGAGGCCAGCCTGGGCAACTTAATGAGACCCTGTCTCCAAGTGTGTGTGTGTGTGTGTGTGTGTGTGTGTGTGTGTGTGTGTGTGTGTGTGTGTGAAACACAGCTCAGTGGTAGGGAACTTGCATGTGTAAGGCTTAATAGTTTATTCCCCCTGGACCTGAGAGAGACAGACAGATGGAGAGAGAAAAAGAGACACAGTAATTCTGCAATTCAGGAGTCTAAAAAACTATTGAGTAGCAAATAGTTTATCATTCAACTGGGAAAATACTGTTATTCAGTAAATATTCTTCATCACCATATTTAAATGCAATGGTAGAATTATGCAAATGAACTCTAATAGTCAGGAAGCTAGGAACTGTGTAGTTAATACCATTAGAGAAAGGTATGGCTGTACTGTAAAAAGGAAGGAAGGGGAGATTAGTAAAATCACTATAGGAAGAATAGGCATTAGGTAAAATGACTGTAAAGTAGTATCTGAGTAGGTAACACACTAGGATATAGTGTACACCTACAGTCCACTGGCAAGCAGTTGAAGTGTTAAGAGCAATGTTAATGCTGGGTTTATATAAAGTCCTAATGGCGGACATGGCTCTCAAAGTAATTACCAGTCAGTATCCATGCAAGGAACAGAAATGAAAATCACATTCCCTATTGTATCCTTCAAGTTTCACATAAGGACAACAGAAAAAGGAGCGTACAAATGATGTAAGGATAGGGTACTAGGAAAGTATGCGAAGGTAAGAGGAAGTCAGATTCACAAAAGTACAGAATCCCCCAGAACGACTCCAGGATTAGCAGACAGGGGAGGCAGAAGGCAAATCTGGATGATTTAAACATGGATTGTGGGCTGCCAGAGTCAGAAGCACGCCACAGGTTAGCGCAAATACTAACAAAGGGCTCACACGCCTAGCAGACAGGTAACCCTTGCAAGACTGCCAGAGCAGCCCTCACATATAGAAGGTGGCTGGTGGGACCAGTGTTTCAGTGTCCCCTCTCCCTGGAGACTCCATCTGCTTAACCTTAGGAGAAGGGAGAGAGCAGTGTGGAACCCCAGGCTTCCTTTTAAGAGAATTCTCTAGAAACCAGTAAAGGACCAAGATTTGGGAGAACATGTGGGATTTTTTTCCCAGCATTCCTTGCTTGACAGGAAGAGGAAAAGAGCAGGGCTTTACCTTGTAACAGCAGGTGGTCATCCGTGTAAGCGCTGCACCCGGACTTTTGACCTGCTTTTTCAGGGGACAAAAAGGGGTCTGTTGTCTGAAGTAGACATCAGATGGCCTTGTTGGTTGCTACTGTACTTAGGCTGGCCTTCCCTGTGAGATCAAACTTAACATTCCCTACAAGTTGTGACTGTACATGGACTTCATGGACAGGAGGTCTTTATGCATTGGGTGACTCAATGAGAAGTTTGGTTTCCATTTGTAGGGAAACCTGTTGAGTTGTGCTCAGGCTACAACCGTTTCAACCTTCTTCAGGTCTACATCCAAGCGGCTCTCCAGTGACCCACAGCTACACACCCATCAACACAAACAGTGTGTCACATGTCTATGTGGGTTTCTAATAGTTGTTTTGTTTTTGTAGGATAAACCTTCCTAGGTAAAAATGTCACTGTGCTACTGCTTCTCTATTTTTTTCTGGATTTGTTTTCAAAGGAACATACTTAATGGCATGGCATTTTAAAAGACAAGATTCCAATCAAAGTCATCCTGCTTAAATATACTGAGAGATGAATCAAAAGCAAAAATAAATATGGAAAGTCACCCTTTCTGAGAACCGGGGAAATCCTCAAAAAAGCTTAAAAGAAAAATTAGGAGAAGAATCATTTCAGGGCTTAGTTATTGGTGATGATATTCATTTGCATAAATGATGATCCGTTGAAGTTGCATTTCCTCTCATTTTTCCTTTCTAACACTCCAGAAAATGACGAGAAGAGTATGGATAGGGGATGGGGACAGTATATGACTTGTTGATTGCCAATGATTAGCTTCTGAGTGTCTGGGTGGTTTTTTGTAAACTTGAAGCATTGTCTTATAAAATGCTGTTTCTTCTCTAACTGCTGGCAGTAAGTGAACTAGGCACGTCTCAGGGCAGGCCACAGGAGCTTGCGTGTCAAAGGCAGAATAGTGTTTACTGCACAGTTGACAGGAAGACAGAGGCATAGAGAGAAGACAACTATGAAAAAGAGGAAGAAAGGCGGGGAGTGGTGACATACAACTTTAACCCCACAGAGGCAGGTGGATCTCCATGAGTTTGAGGCCAGCTGGGTCTACAACGTGAGTTCCGGGACAGCCAGAACTGTTACACAGAGAAACCCTGTCCTGGGAAACAAAAAACTGTAGGAAAGCCGTGTGTGGTGGTGTACACATTTAATCCTAGCACCAAAGAGGCAGGCAGATCCCTGTGAGTTTGAGGCCAGCCTGGTCTACGTAATAAGCTCCTATATCAATAAGCAGAAACAATGCATTGCAATTTTATTTCGTTGGTAAGAGATTATTTCATTAAAAATATTTTAACATCTAAAAACAGTAAAACAAAAGAATAAAAAAATCCACTAGGTAGTACCACAAGAACATATCATTATAAGGAGCAATCCAGTGATTCTGTCATATTCAGTATGGGTCTACATGCTGGTGATCAACTGAGATACAAAAAAGATATTTCTAGCACAGACTTCATCTGCCATGGAGTCCCCTTATCTTGAAAATTGCATCCTTTCAATTTTTTAACTACTTTGAGACATTAGTTGCTACAGTGTAGTATGTATAGCACTATAGTCCGATATTATAGTCTTTAAACTCTATGAGAGAACCAGAAAGTGTGAAAATTACCCCTAAGAAAGAAGGCTGAGTTTGCAACCAGGGAAGATAAATCACAGGCAGGATTGGTTCTGGATCCCTAAAACTAGTTACTCAATGTTTCTTTCTTTTCATCCTTGACAATGACTGGAGATTGTTTATTCCCTTGAAGACTGAAGGTACTAACCTCCCATGGAGTATGTCCTCCCCAGAACTTTTAGGGGCTAGCCTTCCCCATCACTGTTTAGAAACCATAACAAACCTTGCACTCAATGCTACTGGATTAATAGTAGAGGCCCATGGGTGTCTGCAGTAGTGAGAGTATGCTGGCTGTGTAGATGACCTACCTTAGGCTCTGATCCACTGGAACCCTCTTCTTCGTGGAGGTTGAGCCTGGCCTTGCCATCAGCAGAAGTCCTAGTCATCTTTTTCATGCTGACAGGCACACAGGGTTTAGGTGCATCTTCTATGACAAACTTGCTGGTTTCTTCCAGAGATTTCTGATAGGCTGTGAGGGGTGACGCTGGTTCCTCAGTGCGACTAGATCCATGTGTTTTTGGTTTCAGATTCTCCTTGATGCTCTGTTTTCCTATGTCATTTTGGGATTCCGGAAAGTAGGACTTTGCCTTTGCTTCCGGAGTGACTTCTGCGTGGCTTCCGTTTGCTTCAAATTTCCCAGGTTCTCCTTTGAGATATGAGGTAATGGAATCTCGAACCTGATCAGTGCTGTGAAAGACACAATATGCAAATTCATAATGGCGACATGTGACTGCAGATGGCTTCAGGGTGATACCCATGTTGCCAAATCACTTTTTCAAAAATTTATTTTAATTTTATAGTTTTTTTTTTCTGTATGTATGTCTGTGTGAAGGTGTTGGATCCTGGCATTACAGACAGTTGTGAGCTGCCATGTAGCTTCTGGGACCTGAACCCCGGTCCCCTGGAAGAACAGTCAGTGCTCTTAACCATTGAGCCATCTTTGCAGCCCCTCCCAACTTCTTCTAAAGGCATAAAATAGTCATGAAAAAATTAATAAGTAGATTTAAAATGTGAGGGCCTTTCACAGATGGGTCAGTGAGGTGTATTCAGGCTGCAGGCATCCCAAACACCCCAGCTTCCAACATAGCTATGAGACTGTCACTTAAAAAAATCATTTTCTATAGCTAAATTTTACACTTTAAAAAATATTGATGGACATATAGTTCTGACCTCGCCAAATTTTAAAGGGAAGGCTAGTGAGGACACACTATCATGTCACTAATGAAAACCAAACACCAGGCATGGTGGGGCACACCTTTCATCCCAGCACTTGGGAGGCAGAGGCAGGTGAATATTTGTGAGTTCAAAGCCAGCATGGTGTATAGACTGTTTTACAGAGAAACCCTGTCTTGAAAACCAAACAAGAATAAATAAAAAACAAAATGCTGCCTGAGAAAAATAGAACAAAGGAATTCCTGAGTGGAAACTGCATTTTTCAGGGTCTCTGACTTGAATTTTTTTGTAGGGTTTCATCTGTGCATATATGTGTCACACTCTCTCAACCAAGATGCCCTTATTGGACCTCCTTTGTCCACTACAGCTCTCCACTGCTTTCACTGACCACCATGTCTTCTGTTCATCATGGGACTCCTTTCCTAAGTGAGGTAAGTCTTCTCTTTACTAGTTTCAACATAAACCATTTGTTTTATTTTGTAGCTCACATGTCATTCTTAGTGTTGTGCTCATTACCCAGAAGAGGCAGCAATTAGTACATTAACATTGCTCTTTCTGTTAATGCAGAAATGCAGACACAAATGCATTTAGAAATTCAACCAAGGTCAAAGTGTTTCCTTTACAGTGGGGTATGTCCCATGTCTAGGATCTCGAGTCTTACTTTCTAGAGCAAGGCTTAGCGTAAAGATGAGCCAGATACACACTGGCAGAATCACTGTAGTTATATATCCATGGCTATTTTGGTTGTAAGGAAATGTCTATCATGTTTCTGTGTAAAAGCCTACGTATATAAAAATGGAAGACTAGGGCTGGGCATGACCAGCACTTGGGAGGCAGAAGCAGGTGGATCTCTGCGCGTTCAGGGACACCCTGATCTACAGAGTGAGTTCTAGAATACCCGGGACAACAGAAACCTGCCTCTAAAAAAATTAAAAACAGAAAACTGGAAGAATAATGTGTTTTTCCTGAGTATAGTAAGTGTGTTTTCTTGGTGTCTCTAGATTTCCTACATGAAGATAGAAAATTGACACCTGCGCCTCATTCCTTTTTTGGGGGGTGGTGTGCTGGATGTTAACAGCAAAGCCATGCACATTTGGTTGTGTATGTGCTGCTTGCTAAAGCACGCCTTCATTGATTCAGACTTTTCCTGGTGACTATTGCTAGATGGCAGGATTTGTCAAGTTTATAATCTCTAATATCTTGTATCATCCCATCTATGTCTGTAGTTATGAAACAAGACAAATGGTAATATCCACAAAAGATCTGGGCTTTCACTTATGAAATGACTTCAGTGGGGCACTGCTGACTTTGAAGACAGCATCTAGATCTTTGGCATGGAAGTAACTCTGCTTTGCTTTTTACTGCAGTAAATTCACCTTTCTCTAAGGAATAGGACATACTGAAACCAATCGGTAAAGAAGGTATGTTTCGAAACAGGCTGAACAATTTAGCATAGGAGTCACTGCCAAAAAAGGCCCCCGTTTGAAACAAAGTACAGACAGCACACCCGCTTTTCATGTGTACTCCCTGAGACACAGCCGTACCTGTCATCCAAGCGGTCTAGTAACCCACCAGTTATTCTTCGGGCTTGTGCTGGAGACTCTAGGCTTCCACTTGACGTCTCGTTCTGCCAACCTGCAAGTGAAGACATTGCCAGTTCTGCTCGTTGTACACGACTAAGAATTGCCTCCTCAGACTCTACTCCTTCTTCAAGTTGAACGTCCTCAAATAGAGATTTGAGCTTTTCTTCCGCCGTCTCCTCACCAGGACCAGATCTTCCTTTCTCCTGCTGCTCAGAGCTTATGGCTACTTTTCTAGTCTGTGGTTTCAGCGGCTCTGCTGGCATACCATCTTTTGGGAGCCCGGGCACACTTCCGAGGTACTGAGGACACTCACTCGGACACAGGTCCTTCAACTGGCTCTCAACTACATCCTGTGGGCCGGCCATTTCTGTTACAGTTACTGAATCTTCCAGTCTGCCGTCTTCTAAGGATGTGTCTTCTGCAGTTACAACTGGAGGTCCACCTGCTGAAGGTTCTATGTTTCCCTGGGAAGGCATTAGCCCATCACTCAGTCTACTGGGGGTTCTAAAGGGAGAATCTATGCTAGAGATATCACTAAAATGGTCATCTTGCTGGAAAGGGGTGGGTGGTGTGCAGTATAACCCCATGGGGGTCTCCAGCTCCACTTGAAGGGAAGGGTGACCTATGGAAGACAGTACATTTGGACTGACTGGAATGAACTAGAACACGTTAGACACAAACACATGGGATGACTCAAATTATATCAGGTATGACAACGCATGATGGATTACAGAACAATGTACACGAGTTCATGGTTTAGTTCATGTAATTTAATGAAATAAAACAATGGCATTCTGTCAATTTTAATACGGCAGCATAACTGTGCAGATGAAATTAACTCAATATAAAGTTTTAGTTGTCATATCTAGAAGACATTTGGCTCACGGCTGACACATCGTTTTCATTTTAGCATGCAAAACCTATACTATGGTAGAATGAATACAGCAAGCTGTAAGAGGCTAATTCTGCAATTAATTCCCTCTTGCTGTTAAAAGCACAATACAACTCCAATTCTTATTCATTTACATGAAATTTATGGGAGGAAATAAGGAATGAATTTACACTCCGGAAAGAAATGATTGATGGATTTTTAGAGTAGTGTTGGCTAAAAAAAATTTAGAAAGATGTTAGACAAGATAAATGACTTAATGTCACAGACATAGAGTTATGTGAAGCTGGTGATGGGAATCTGCTTAGAATCATGAGACAAATAAAGAGAAAAAAATGATACACATGGAGACAGAAGAACCTAAGGTTAAGAGTATTCAGAATTTAGAACAGTGCTATGCCAGCCTGCTCAGAAGGGAAGGAGGGGGCTAACCCCTGATTCTAAGCAATCTACAGAAGAATTTCCTTGCCCAAGCAGTGAGGAAGTAGTAATGGTCTGGTCGTGGTGAGGAAAGGGAGTTTCCCAAAAGCTCAACAAAGAGGAGAGACATTGTTTTAAAAAGTAGCAATGCATTTTCTCAATTCATTGGTCTGAAAAACCAGTTTTTTCCCATTAGTTCAAGACAAACAGCTCTGGTTGTAGGTTCAAATTGCTATAGGTTAGTAGACACTTGTTGGTTACAGCCACTTATAATATGAGCCTTTTATTAAAATCTGGCTAAGATATGACTTATAGTTTATATAAGTAAATTTATTTCATGCCTAAATTTCCCTCAGAAATTTTAATAAAAAGAACTACACAATATTGAGATATAATAACAAAAAGCCCTGGTGAGCTTATTTTAATGATATTTAAACTTTACAGTGTTAAGCCAAAATGAACCAAGGATACCACACTTTGTGATTTCTTTTCCCAGTAAAGAGTAGAGGAAGTTAAAACAGTAACTTGTCAGTAATTCTTAATTTGCTCTATTGATCTAGTACAAAAGGAATTTATCAATATACAACCTCCCACATAAGACAAGTCATATAATAGTGCGTGTGTTCCAAGGATCCATGGCATTGATGCTCTGTGGGTTGCAGATACACTTCATCTTTAGGAAATAGGTACTTTCTAAGATTCTGTAACCTTTCCCACTGTGACACATACAGAATTTCAAAGTCCCTGCCTCTTAACGACTCTCATTTTGCCAGTTAAAAATGGAAAAAGACGATGACGATATTTCTTGACCCCTGAACTAACAGGACATTAGCCTCGGCTACTCTTATCTATGACCCATCATTGTTTTCCATTCACTATTCGTTGTGGGGACGAATTCCCACTTGTGAAGTGAGACAGGAATAGCTTCCAAAGCATGGCGGTCTGTTACGTTGTTTTCCTGACACTCTGATGAGACTGGCTACTAATGAATGGGGGAGGGGACTGTTAAATTAAGCTAAATCAAAAGGTTATCAGTGGCGTGTGTGTATGCTCACTGAACTAGAAAGAATGCATAACACCAAATACTGCCTGCCCTCCACCCCAGGAGTCGCTGGCAGAATTCAGGGTAATGTTAAGCAACTAGCATTACTGGAATGGTGGGAGACTTCTCCATTGTACCTCTACATGCTTGATCCCACAACAGTGATTCACTGTTTGCCCCAGCCACTGTTCACTGCAAACAGAGCTCAGCACGTCACCTTGGTTAAAACTGGACTCACGGTTTTACTTCACTTGCATATGAGAAGAGGTCACTGGGTTTAAAAAAACCATCAATTTTAAATGCCAAAGCACTGCATTTTGCAAGTATCAAGTTTTCTTCCATTTGGGTGCACAGAAGGCTAAGGAGTCACAGCTCTTTCGGATACTGTGTTTTTATATTTCATCTGTGCTGCAGAGAGACGTTTACCGAGCCTGCTCTGATATTAGAGCGTGCTCATTTGCAGACTCTGGCAGAACAAAAACTGTGAGGAGGAGAGGTTGAGTCAAACAGATCATGGCGCAGGTGGTAATGAGTGGCTGCCTTGAATGACAGCACTTTCAGATTTTATATCGAATGATCAAATATGAACACTAAATGCAATTACCATCAACTGGGTCATGGAAAACATTGTTTTCATCTGCAAAGCTTCGGGTGCCTGAAATATTCCCATAATCAAAAATTGGTCCTTCTAGCAGAGTCACTATGTCTATTCGATTAATTTTTGTCAAGACCGAAGTTAAGGCATCAGCTGAAAAGGAGAGAAAAGAGGTTGAGAAGCCAGTGGCATTGTTTCCTGCAAGTTAACACAACATCCAACAACAAAAAAGCATGGCTTCCTTCAGCTAGCATTTCAGCACCCTACTTAGCTCTGTCTGCTAGATCCATGTCCAGAATGCTGGCTGCCCCAGGGAAGACTCCCACCTTAAAGCTGTCTGTGGAGGCCACAGGATTCATCCCACTGTGACAGGGCAGATGGTCCTCAAACACCTGCACTCCGTTAGGGGCCCAATACAGCTTCAAGTTCCCTTGACTCTCAGGAAGTCAATGCCTCATCTTTATAGCCAGTGCTTAACTTCTTAGTAAACCACCAAGGTCAGGCTGACCAGGCAAATCCACAATAACTTACCCCACATTGCAGGGGGTGGGTGCCGGGTGTTTTGAACTCGGTCACCAGCACCTACCTAAATCCAGTTATAGCAGAGGATTTGCCCCAGACTGGGTACAGCTGGCTGGCTCCCCTAACCATGCCCCATCCTCCTCTGTATGTCCCTCCACACCTGCCCCTGGATGCAGCAGTAATTTCAAAGCGGTTTTTGTTTTTGTTTTTTTCTGCTGACCATGACAGAAAAGTTAGTTATTATTTTTCCCCTCCATTTTTTAGCAGGTATGTGGGAAGGTGGTCATACAAACTGCAAACTGTCTCCTGCCACTTGCTTTCCAGGAAACCTAAGCACAGGACCCTAGGAGGCCAGGGCTTACTAAATGTCACTCTAGACTCTTGCTAACTCCTCCCACTTGCTACCGGAAATTACAGAATACTGAAAATCCTGGCATAAGCCCAACAGCAGATTTCTCTAAGATATTAACCCTATGTGGTTTTGAAAGTTAATATATATAATTTTAAGCATACTTGTGGCATTCTTTCCGTCTCTGGTAACCCACTTTTTTAATAACATGAAGCTTTGGGAAATTAAGGAATTGGGATTTTCCACACGTATCTGATTGATTTCATCCACTGAAAAATTCAGTTCCCTTGCCAGCTCTGTGAAGAGAGAGAGAGTTAGGAAGTGTAGTTGTTACTTTGCACATGCTTCTTCAGCGTCACATTCAACTCCTAACACCCCACTCCAAACAATAACAGCAAAACTAGAGGAAGAAAAGGAATTGTAGTCCTTTGCCTAGAATTGGGCAGTCTGGTGCTTGATTTTTTTTTTTTTTCCGGCAGGCTGTGACCAGAATTTCCTTAGATAATTACTAACAATCAAAGTCCAATTATAAATCCTTTGTTCTTTCAAGACAGGGTTTCTCTGTGTAGTCCTGGCTGTCCTAGAACTAGCTCTGTAGACCAGGCTGGCCTTGAACTCACAGAGATCCACCTGCCTCTGCCTCCCAAGTGCTGGGATTAAAGGCATGTGCACCATCACCATCCAACTAGAAATCATTTTTTACAGATTCTTGGGATTTGTAGAGAGGATGTTGCTGGCTTATTTTGATTCAGCCACATTCTCTGCAGATTGAACAATTGTACACAAGACAGGGAAGGAGCTTACTATTCCTGAGCATGCACAGATTGGGTGGCGCTGAGCAATCCCATTGAAACACACCTCTTACTCATTTGCTAATGTAATGGCTAAGCCTTTGAGTTTTATGATCTCTACTTGGGAGGTTAAGTGATAACTCCAGGGAAAAATCATGCATACAATATGCAGGCATTTGTGTGAAAAGAAATAAGAGGGAGTGCTATGTGTCTAAGTACATACTGAATCTTGTAAACACAGAGGTGTCTCTGCAAAGATTAAGATGAGCTCAACATGGCCGGCAGATGGCTTGGCATGTAAAGGCCAAGCCTGATAACCTGAGTTCAACCCCCTGGGACCCACATGGTAGAAAGAGAGAATCAAATGAACTCACTATGAACAGAGACCTTGAGAAAGGAGACATCTTTTCATCGCTTATCTCTTTAAAAATGTGTATCAAGTATATACTACCTTAATTACTATAAAGTAAGAAACATGAAGAATTGCTTCCATGAAAAAGGGATTGGTCAAGATTCAATTCCTGTCAAACATCTCTAATAACTCAGCAAAATGAATTCAGAAATTCAAGAAGTCCTCATGTTCTGGTCAAGTTATTGTTGCTAGAAGTCTATATTGTGGTACACAGGGGCTTACAAAATGAGTTGCATACATATTAACTATTCACTGCAGACTGGAACTACTGGAAATTTGACAACTGTCCCTTGTTGAACAAAAGGAGGAAGTTTGCTGATGTGATAGAGTCTTGTGATCATGGTAGACAGTTAAAAGGGTATCATATAAAACAGTGTTTCTGTAACTGAAACCAGCTTACCTCAGCACAAAATTTAGCCTTAATACATGTGGGCACAGACACTTTCACAACAAAAGCTTAAATTCATATCATGACTCTTAAGCATAGTGGTTAGGAAAAAAATACCATCACATGTATAGATTCATTATCACTCAAAGCCAGGATCAGCAGATATTAATTTTGTAGGGAACTACAAAATTTGTATTGTGAACAAAACAAGATTACTATAAAAAAATCAATGCTTCTGAACGAGTTTCAAGAGACACATTTCCACTTTAAATACTGAAGATTTTGTAATGGTCTTCATTGATCACATAGTAGTTCTAATTAAAGAGGTCAATTCCAGTTTTCATTCCACCATCTGTGTACATTTTAGGCAACAAGAGTCCTACCACCCAAGAAATCCTCAAAAGCAAACATTATTTATTGCTCAGAAGACTGGAAAAAGCACATTGACCCTGAAGAAATCAGAGTTGGAGAACTTGATTTTATTTCTTCTTTTCTAGTCCTGGGGATTAACTGAGGCTTTGAGCATGCCAGGCCACTCGATCTGTTCCCAGCTCACCTGGGTCTTCTCCTGTGCCACATCTCCAAAAATCTACTCTGGGAAACAAGGACTGTCTATGCCAGATGAATGAAAATCTGGTTTTTCAGTAAGAATGCAAAAACCAACATACATTCTGTTTATTTTTCAGTAAATGACCTATGTTAAACCATAATTAGTGTTAAAGTGCACTTTGTAGGGAACTATTTAAGAATGTAAACCAGTATTAACTCCTCTCCACCTTCAGGGTGTTACTCAGACACCGGACCATACCAGAGTGCCTGGAAGTCCCTGACCATTAACAGCTCATCTAGAGCAGAGGCTAGAGACCAGGTAATGCTTTGTCATTTGGTAGGGCTGGGAGGCAGTTCTGTGGCATACAAAGGAAAACTATAGATGGTTTTTTTTTCCTATGGTCTAGTTTTACCTTCCCCCTTTAATAAGAGATAATGGTACGGCACGAGAATGGCTGTGGTAGCTGATATAGAAGATGACCCTAGAGAGATGATAATTAATACTTATTTTTTTTACCAGTTTAGTTATGCATGGTCTATAGTCATAAAAGAAATCAAGCATTTGTTTCAATGTTCCAGTATATTTTCAGAGGAATGCCCAACATCTTAGGATGTGCGTTTAAAAGGTATATTCAACCTAGGAAACATCACATTTCTTCTTAGATTCTCATGAGTCAGGATATGAGAGACCTTGTTAGGACCAACACTATAAAGCTACATTTTTTAAGTGACACAGCCCCGCATTTGACTTTACTGATGTAAAACAAAGATGGATACTTCCTTTCTATCACCTTGACTATTAATGGTTTCATAGAACTCAAGCATCTCTGTGAACTGCATCTATTTTATTCGCTTATATCCTTTTACAAAAATTAACTTATGATCGAGGCTTTCATTCCTTTTTCTTGGTCATAGAAATATTTTTTTGTTCTCGATTGTCAAAGTAAGGCAGGGTTTTCCATTTAAACTAATCCTAGGGCATAATAGTAAGTTCATTTAAAAGCATTGGCCCAATAAAGGCACAGCAATTGGGTAAATTGCTATCTTGACTACACCAGGGCATGGGGTAATTGAACCACTGGCTAAAAGTGCTGTTTTAACAACAGAGATAATGTTAATTATGTAGTCATAGTCTTATCTGGGTTTTCTTGAATGCTCCTAAGGCATGTGCCCTCAGTTACAAAACTATTCTCTTATGGAAATGGCCAGGTGAAGAAATAGTTTAAAGATCTAACTTTGTACATGTACAGAAAAAAATTAGAGTGTACAGTTGCTATCAGTAACTATGAGGGCAGGTAGAATTATGGATAATGTTTTACTGCTTGCTTGTTTGCGTATTTGGAGAGGTATAGGATGGTCTTTGCAGGTGACGAAGACAAGGACACTGAGGGGAGGATACCTGCTTCATTCAGGTGCAAATGTACTTACCTGTCCAACTAAGTCCCAGGTGATCGGCTACTATTGCCATCCTGATATCTGTCCGCTCACAAGGACTCTGTGGACCTACGATTTACAATTTCTCAATTAAAACAATCGCCAAGGAAGACACGACACTGGAAAATTGCTTTGCGCAGTACTCAGATTTTACAGAGACTGACACTAACACCGTGTACTTAGATGTGTTCTAGTCGCCTACACAAACACTTCTTGTCTGTCACTCGCATCAGGCCAAATGCCAGATTACATGGATGCTCGGAATGTAATGAGATTGAACATGCTGGCGAGCTGGCCACTTTACAACGGCCACAGAATCGCGTTGGTGGCAGCAACCATGATGGAATCTGAGCATCTGCCTTGGCTCTGACAGAGTCATAACCCATGAGCACATTAGAAAAGAAGCCCTCTCACATCTTTGAACGACACCAGTGTAGCATGCTTCCCTAGCTCTCTACAGTGTAGCTGGATTGAAAGAGGACGGAAGGGCATCTAGGACAGCACACACAGATGACAAGGACAGAATGAGAAGCTACAGTTAAACCACTCCACAAGCAATCACGACAGGTCATGCACTAGGGTCTACGAGTTGGAAAGTGTTTACGGACTATGCTGTTTCTCCAGGTCGTGAGCAAAGAGCGCTCAAGAAACCTGACTGCCTTCATTCTCACCAGTCCTCCTACTGCCGGCCTTTCCACTCTTTGATTTTAAAGGTGTTGCCTCTGTTCTCTTATGTCTAGCAGACTTCGTGGTAACTGAAGGCTGGCCACCCCGGGAAGTCTCGGACAACGACGTGTTTCTTGAGGTACTCTCTTCCTCATCAGACAACTCCGACTGCATCTTTTTGTCTTCTTCAGTGAGGCGGTCCACAAGTTTTAGGGTCTCACCACTAATTCCCTTAAAATATTCAATGGGATGTTTACATACTGCCTTAAGCTGACTTTCTCTAACTTTAACGGTGGTGGATTTGGTGGTGGTGGTGGTGGTGGTGATAGTGTTGGTGGTGGTGACGGTGACACAGGTGGATCTTACCTTTACTGGCAACTTGGATGGAGGCAGTTTGGCCTTGCCTTTCTCTGGCTGCCCTCGCTTTTGTGTGGCACATGCTTTTCTGACTGAAACTAGGTTCTCCCTGTGTGTGTTTTTGACTGGAATTCGGGACTTGGCATCTACACATGAAGAAGTAGGAAGGGTTTTGTTTTTCTCTGATGGACCAACCTGCCTCAGTTTACCTGCTTTACTGTCTGGCTTATGGTTTGACAGGAAGACATCTTTTGGTGCAGTGGCCTTTATGGGAAGCTTGGATTTCCGCCTAACCCCTATTGGTTCCTTCCGCGAATCTCTGATGCAGTGTCCTTGTGTCCCTGGACTCTTTCCTGAGCCTTTCACTGGATTAGCTTTCTCTGTGGTACGAGTGGGTGCAGCACGTCCTGTCAGAACTACGTGATTTGTGGTGTTATCTGTCTGCATAGTGGAAGAATCCAGATTATTGTTGTTATTGAAGTTATCTTTTTGAAAATCGTGTTTCTCTTGGGACCTAACGCCCACCTGGCTATTGGGTGCACTTGAGATTACTGTCACCATTTCATTTTCTAACCCCTGGCAACTGGTCACCACAGCCTCTATCTTATCTGTCACTTCTCCAGAGCCTTCTTTCTTCATAGTCATGGTAGATGCAGAAATTCCCATTTTTATAGGCGTGCGTGACTTGGGGTCAACTTTTGAGGTGTTAGCAGCAGCTGTTGACTTCTCCAGAGAGCCACTACAGGCTGCGCCTTCCTGACACTCTCCGATGGTCGGGATGCTGGGGTTGGGTTCGACTGTAGGTGCCTCTACATCTCTCTCTAGATTGGTGTCTACTGAGGTGTCCCCTGACTGTGGCTGTGGGGTGTCAGTGACCATACTGTTATCCCCTTCCCCCTGGGCCCCTGACTTCCCTTCAGGAGTATGCTCACCAATCTGGAAAAATTGGAGCCTTTCTTCCACAAAATCTCTCTTGCTCATGTCAATTGCACCACTGCGGGTCATCTCAAACATTTTTCCTTCATGAAATGGAAAGGGGTTAGGCTCACTAGTTGGGGTACTCTCATCAGTTGGTGTTCTGGCCGGCGTTGTGTCAGGGGTGGTTGCCGGAGAGCGGTCGTCCACCGCCAGACCAAATGGCTTAGTGTCATCTTCCCGAGATTTACCATCAAAAACTTCATTGTCCCCTCGGTTATTGGGCCAAGGGTCAAAATCTAGACCCTTGGTCGCTACTGTTTTAAAAGGAGTGGCGAATTCTTCATCGACTTTGTAACTGAAGTAAGTATCGGGAAATACCGATCTGTCTGGATGTCTGCCTTCCAGGGTGAAAAACTGGGTCCCTGACTTGGGATCGCTCTTCTCCGGGGTTCTATCTGATGAAGAGCTTTTGGAAGAAGATGGCTTCTCTTCATCCAGTCCCACTTTCCCCTCCTCCTCAATCACTTCCAGTTTACTCTGACTGAAAGAGCGGTCGGCAGGCTTCAGGATGCCCTCTGTCCAGACGTCCTTCTTGGTGTCCACAGTTTGACTGGGGAGTTTAGAGTCACTCTCTGTTAGGCCATCGTCCTCATCTTGTAGGTCATAGCCATCCAGAGAGTCAATCTCGGTGGCATCTGTGTCATGGGAAAACTCAGCCGTGGTTGCGATGGAACACTCAGTGACAGACTGGTCATTGTTTCCATTCTGAGCCGTTTCGTTCTGAGGTGAGTCAAGGCCGGACTCACTCTCTCTCCCATTACTCTCTGCCTCTTTCTGGTTGGAAGCTTTCATGGCAGCGGTTTTGGATTTGGCCATGTCTTTCTGTCCTTCATCAACTTCCTTTAACTTGAAGGTGTATTTTTTAACTGGGACTGGTTGATACATGGACTCATCGTCACTGGAGTCGCTGGCTTCGGCACCGGGAGGGACCGGTGATGGGGGCTGCACTCGGATGACAGGTTCGGCCAACTGGTACTTGTCACACTCATCCTGAAGGTTGACCTCAATCATGTCAACCTCCCTTTCAGGGAGGTACTGATGTTTCTTATCTGATTCCATCTGGTCGGCATCCAGAGGGGGAGGAGGAGGAAACTCAATATAGGCAACTCGGTTACATTTGGATCTTTGGGTTGAGTCTTTGCTCACATTGCGATCCGTTTCCCGCTCCACAGTCACCTGCTTTAGGGGGGCTGACTTGGGTTCCTCCGACTCCGACTCCTCAGAAACCTCAGGAATCGGGCTGGGTTGTCCTGGTATAAAAGCTATGAGGGAGTCTGGCGTCTTAGACGTGAACTCATAACTCACTTCCTCTGAGCTGGGAGTTTCCGGGGTCAAAGGGCTCTTCCCAGAGCTGTCTAGAAAGGACACTTGCTCTAGAGTATCGTCTTCTGGACTGCCCTGGGGAGAAGGCGGCTGTTTTTGCTGTCTAGCTGTATAGAAGGTTCCCCTGGCTTCCTGCACCGTCTTACATTCCTGACTTATGATTTTCTTTACACCTCCTTGTTGGAGCTCCTTTTCATACTGTTTCCCTACTTGTACGAAGCTGACATAAACAGGTAAGGTTTTGATCTCTTTCCCTCCCTCTGTCTGGGCTAGGGGAGCAAGCTTCTCCAACCCCTCCATGGAGCCGTGGTCGAACACATCACTAGAGGGAGAGTCTTTTCCTGGGCTAAACTCTAACGAATCGGGAGATCTGATGGGAGAGGTCTCAGTTTCATCAAGAACTGGACAGAGGCCTACGTAACTCTGTTTGGAAACTTTGCTGATCTCAGAATAGGTAACTTTTTCATCATCTATGGAATTAAAGTGCTGATTCTCCACTATCTCTTTGCTCACACGTGACCGGGTCACTTTTTGGGATAGTTCATGTTTTGGAAATGTTGACTGCTCACAAAACCCATCAGGAATGTTAGAAGACGGCATCTTCCTCTCGTCTGCCACCCTGATGGGAATGTGAGATCCCACTGAGCTCTCGCTTCTCCTGGGAAGCCGGTCGAGAGCGCCGCTGGGAGGACGGTCCCCTTCTTTAACAATGTACTCCCTGTATAACACTTTCTTGGAGGGAGACTTTACACTCATTTCCTTAATTTCTGAGAGAGAGCCATTCGTTAACAATTTGTGTTCTCTCTCAGTCACACACATAAATTCATTCTTTGGATCGGCGTTCTCGCTCTCATCGGGGCGGCCCGTATGACTCTGTCTGATGTCGTGAACAAGCACGTGCGACAGTTTCTCTTTCTGAGCCTTATTGTTATTGGCCCCAGAACTTTCCCACGTTCTAAAGCCCTTTCTGTCCCATGGTCCCTTGGTTGCTAGGTCTGATGTCATGGAACAGGCCGAGTCTTCTTCAGCCTGCTGCTCAGGGAAGAACTCAGGCATTGCCTTACTTAGCATCTCAGTTCTGTGTCTTTTGACGTCATCGGGGCCCGACTCATTCACAACAATGTCATTGTTTTTGGCATGCTCGACTTTGACTATGGTAACATCATTTTGCACTGGCCCTCTCTCCTCTGAGAGGTCTACAGCCTTCTGCTGCTTTTCTCTAGCAAAACCTGGGTGTGTGGGCAGCTTGCTTTCTTGAGTTTTCTTAACTGGGATTCGGGATGGGCCATCCAGAGTTTTCTCTTCTTGAGATAGGTCCTTACTTTTTGCACGGGTGCCTTGTTCAAATTTTAAGCGAATGGAACTGAGTTTGGATTGTTTGAGCTGAAACCCAGACTGGGGCCCTTCTGGTCCCCTGCCCTGAGCAATGACAGTTCTTTTGGCTTCCTCTGTAGGCTGGCCATCCTCACTCTGTTGGGAAGGGACCCTCTTCTCTGGGCTGCTTGACCCAATGCATGTCTTCTTGTCCTCAGCCTGAGGGACACCTTGTCCATCTTGACCACGCTGCCTGGCTTTAACCCATTCGTCATTGGATGCCAATAGTTCTGTTAACACCTTCTCGGGACTACTGCTGGTGGAACTCTGGGAAGAGTATTCTTTGCCATTTTGGGGGCGTGGCTTTTTCTCCGGGGACTGCAGTTCATCGTTTAACTTCTCGGTTTTGTCACGAAAAAACTGTGACACTTCAGTCAATTTCTCTTCAGCCTCCTTCACAGTCCTGTCCACCCTATCTTCATATATTAACTTCTCTCTACCTCTGTCTAGTCTGTCCTCAGACAAGTGCATCCACATGGCATGTTTTGGACCACTGACATTACCCGCATAGTGCAACACTGTCATTTTATCAAAATGCTCATCTTTAGACACTCTCCCTACACCATTTTCAGACACATCTTTATAGATTTTGGAGAGGATTTCTTTCTGGGGGGCAGTGGCTACTTTATCTCTGGAGCGCTTATCAGACCTCTGTAACTGTGAGCTAGGGGGTCCTACAGGGTCTGTCACCGATTCCTCGGTATCAGAGTGAGAAACATCTAACTTCTCTGACAGAAGCATTTTCTCAGCAAACCTGTAAGACTCCCCTCTTAGGTCTGACAACTCATCATCATGGTATTCTACAGAGTGCTGACTCAACAGCTTCAGTGTTTTGTAAGAGTCATCGGACAGGAGCTGTGCGGAACTGGGACGGCTATCTTCTTCTTGGGACACTGGAGTGTTTACTCTGGAAGATTCCAGATAAGAAGGCAAGGACTCTTCTGCTGCAAGTTCTTCTTCTTCTTGCTGACCCTGCTCCTCGGGGCAAGGGAAAGCATCGTGTTTCTCTGGCAGAAAATCTTTTAAGTTAATACTTCCCCGGGATAAGTCTTTCTGACACCCAGGTACTTCCTTTTCTGGATGCTTTTTGGTCTCTCTAATAATGACTTCAGTGGGTTCAGCTTGGTTACCTTTTTCGATGTGGACTTCTATTATACGCTCCAGTTTGGGTTTCATTTGGCTGTCCTTCTCTGCGTGCTGGGCTGAGATCTCAGCAGCAGACTTGGGGACATCTGGAGACATGGCCGACTTGTGTTCAAACAGCCCCGCCAGCTCTTTGGACGGGTCTCTCCCAGACTGAAAGGCTTTCATGATGTCGTGGACTGACATGGTTTCTTCAATTCTTTCTGAGGCACACTCACTGCCTGGAGGGGAGTGATACACCATCCTGGTGGTCGTAGTGATATGAGTCTCTTCTTTGACACGCATGCCTTTACTTAAAACCCGACTGTGGTCCTCTTCCTCGCTACTGGCTTTCATTTGAAATGCTTTTACTTTTTCCTTAATGCTAGAGGTGGTAGGCTTTGGCTCCAACTCCATAAACGTAGCTGAAGGTTTGGGGGACATGGGGTCCTCTGGCTGGGACTGGGGGATGTCACCAGTGGAGGGCTCATAACTCCTGATCACATGGACTACTTCAGTCCTTGTCTCCGTGATGACGGGAGGGATGGGGACTTCATGAAAAAGTGGCTTAGGGCCTGTGCTCTCGGCACTTTGTGGGGCTGACGGTGTTTTCTCACTTCTGGTTTCGAAGCCACTGTCGGACAAGGGACTTTTATCTTGGTCATGTTGAGAAAAGTCATCAGGAGACTCTAAGATGGCATCTGATCCAAAGAAAGAGTCAGCCATCTTGCACAGTTCCTTCTCGGAGGTGGAAGGCCTCATGGAGGCTGGCGGCATTTTGAGTTTATGCTCCTGCAAGGCCATGGCTGGCTTGAGAATCCTTTTCTGTCTCTCCTCTCCATCCTTCTTGGCATCTTCAAACTTGTACTTTAAGTTGGTCAGTGAACTGCTGCTCCCAATGTCATTGGTCAGGTAGTCAATGACTCTAGTCAGGTTGGCCTTCCCATGCACTTTCTCGGATGGAGATGGGGTATGGCTGGCAGCAGCCTGCCTGGCTTCTCGTATTTCCTCAGAACTAAATTCTATCCAGTCATCCTCTGGGGAATGGCCTTTGTCACTCTTCGGGGATTTCGGTGGCCCTTTGCTGTCGACACACACGTCCTTTTTGAGGATCTCACTGACTTTCACTAAGTCTTCCTTCACTTTCTCAACAATTTTGAAAGGTTCTTCATCATCTATCCTCCCTTCTTTGGGAAGGTCGGGTTGGAATGGCTTTTCCTCAGGCACATCTGTCTGCAGGATGGCGGTCATTCTCATGAGGTCCTCCTTCATTTCAGCCACGTCCTTTAAGATCTCCTGACTGGAAGATAAAGAAGATGGTGCCGACAGCTTAAGGGCAGAGGGGGTGAGGAACAGAGATGACTTAGCGGGAGATGAAGTTCGATTGAAATGGGGCTGGGGGCGTGTCTCCGTAGTCAATGTTTTAATGGGTGACAGCAAAGCCGCTGCCGATTTTGTGAGCGAATTAGAGTCTGGAAGTTTCTTCAATGCTGGTTCCGACAAAACATTGACTACTGAGTATACTGGCACTGTGATTATTGATGACGTTACAGATGAGGTAGTAGCAGATAATGAAGACCCGAGGGAGGTGTAGAGTGCACTTGCGGAGGGCGTTCTAAGAGACTGAAAAGCCGAGGAGGGCGTTGCAGACACATATGACCTGAGTGGGGAAAAGGGCATGGCTGTTGTGGTAGAGAGTGCTTTCTCCACCGTGTCAGTGGCCGCGCTCACCACTGAACTCACAGCGTTTGTGGCTGTAGAAATTTTGTCCTGTAACGTGGCAGTGGCTTTGCATCCATTAATTAAAGATGAAGACGAAGGGTACTTCAGAGGAGAAACAGACCCATTGACCAGTGCTACCTCTGCATGTCCAGACATCTGCTTTAAGGGGGAGGAGAGAGATGATGCCATCGTAGCTTTAGCTGAGGAGATGACATCGGCTGCAGACTTAGTTGGAGACACCACCGACTTCAAAGGCGAAGAGATCAGCGGTGCTGCTGAGGTTATAATCGACTTAAACGGCAAGCTTGAGGAATACATAGTAATGTTTGACTTGGGGGAGGCGGGGGGTGTCATGGTAATGGATGACCTCTCTAAAAGAGACCCTGCGGTCGTCACTGGAGAAGTTCGAGAGGAAAAGGTTGAGGTGGGCGCCAGCCCCTTTAAGGGCGTAGCCTCGGTGGTGACTGTGGGAGGTCTCCCCAGGGTACCAGAGGTAACTTGGATATTGTATGGAGACGGGGACACCACTGTTTTTATCGGCGAAGAAATTGTCCGAAAAGATCTAATAGGAGATGCCACGTCACTAATGGATTTGACCGAAGATGTAGTTGATGCGCCTAGTGTGGATTTGATTGGAGAAGGAGTCGAAACAGACCATATGGATTTTAACGGAGATGCTGATGGCGTGTTAGAGGAGGAGCTGGATAAGGAGGCGAAGCCTGACTTGGCCGGCCCGGGTACTGAGACTGGAGCTGTGGTCCAGGACTGGTAAGGTCTTGTAGGAAAGAATGGCTTGTATGAGTAAGTGGTAGGGAGGGTTCTTGCTGTTCCTGAACTCCGTTCAACTGTTTCTTAAATTTTAAAAACGAAAATCAAACACAAAAAAAAATCAACAAAAATGGTTGAGAAACAGAGAAGAGACCAGAGAAAAAAAATTGGTCAGTAAACTTGGAAATATTGCAGAAGCAAGTACAACTGTTTGCATGATTTGGGATGGGAGAGGCAAAAAAGGGATGGCTCGAAGCAAAAGAAGAAAAATAAACATGAATGAACATGAAGAACCTGAAGTTAAAAGAAAAAGGTGACGAATGTGGAATGGACACAAGGAAAGCACATAGCGCAGCCATAGAGGCCGATGACGTAAAGGAGAAACACAGGCAAAGAATTGACAATGACAAAAATGTACACAATGGAAAACGGCCTCCTTACTTCCTATTGACTTTCTTGTGTGCTGGGTTAGAAATAGCAGCAGCCATTCTGTTTTGCCTGTTGTACATACACATGTCTGTTTTGTGCAACCACAGAAAGTGTTTTTAAGACTCTCGAATGTTTCCTCTGCTACAGCTTGTCCACCATAAATTGCACCTAGTTGGAACCATTTCAGTATGTGAATCCGCACATTAAGTATTTGATACTCTTTTTTTTCTTTCTCTTTTTCAGAAAAACCACTCAAGCTTTAATCATGCAGAGTCCAAAATAACTAGTAAGAGACAGGCAACTGGTGTGCAAATTGTGAAGCCACTGGATTTTTAAATCTGTTTCTTCCATGCAGGATTGGTTATGTTTCACACCCAAAAAAAGCCAATAAGAGCAAGAAACTGCCTGAGTCAGAGAGCTGTCAACCCAAAACTTAAAACAAAGAAGAGGAATGTGTGCATCGATCCTTTTTTTCCATGCAGTATATTCCTTTTGATGAGGGGAGGGGAGGAAAGAAAATGTGATATGAAATGAATTTTAAAATGCATGTGTACATACACACATACAAAGGGGGGGGGTAAAACAGAAAATACGGTTCATGGTTACCAGAGCAAGCAAAGCAACTGAAAACGTTTCATCATGCGGCGATTTATCATAACAAACAAGCCAATGAGGTAATACAGTTTCAAAGCAGTATTATGCATGGTATATATAATGTTTACAAATACTTTTTCAAGAACACTTGGAAAGAAGAGTACACTTTTTCCATGAGAGGTGAAGTCTTGGTATCTTTTGAGATTTTAGGAAACCTTGTGACACATTATTGAATATATCTGCAACAAAAGAACTCCATAGCTAGATCTTGCTTCATTATAAGGAGAACAAAATTTATGTCTTTATCCCCCCCCCATTATCTGGTCTACTTTTTAACTCTCAAAAGGTATCATGGGGGAAACCCAAAAAAGCACAAATATATTTTGAAAACCCCATATATATCAAGTACCTACAGAGGCATTAGGTACAAACGTATATGTTTATCAAATGCAAAGGTGCTAATGCTGGTACCTTTCAAGAACATTTCTCATAACCTTGGTTACTCTAAACACAGCAACAGCCATGAGGAAAGATGGGTCCAATAAATACCAACATTCTTCCCCAAACAGACAAGAAACCCACACGAGGTAGGTACACATTGGGGACAACAAATTCAAGCTTAGCCTTCTTCTCTACTCCCGTATCTCTTAAACCAAGCCAGCTGGCCACAGGTTTGGAATGCCTGCCAAAGGCTAACCAATGTCCCATGCCAGAGATGAGCACAGTCTTGGTCCAAAAGGGCAACAGTTTACAGCAACACCGAGACACAGAAGACATGAGGACCTTTTTCATCATTTATGCTCTTCCTCGAACTGTGCCCAGGCCACTGCTATAATCCCCTCACAAGGGTGAGGATTTCCATCTCTATCGTACATTTAAAGGCAGATATTTGGAACATGCCTTCTCTAGCTCTGTTTTAGCCTCACTAGAGAGGAAGAGCTAAGGGGACCTTACACAGTCGTTAGCACCAGTCCTAGTGCCTAACCTGTAGGAAAGGCCATACTGGAGACACATGCCTTGATTCGATAGTGTGGGCTCAATGTGTCCTACCAGAAACTGGGAAAGGGTCTCTACTGTTTGGCTTAATTAGGAAAAATTTTTTTCTGTGTGTGCATGCAACACATGAATGCAGGTGCTGTGGAGGCCAGAAGAGGATGTTGGATCCCCCTGGAGCTAGAGTTACAGGCTACTGTGAGCTGTCTGACATGAGTCCTGGAACCCGAACTTGGGTCTTCTGCAGGAGTAGTAAGCACTCCTAACCGCTGAGTCATCTCTCCAGCCCTTCATAAGATGCCTTTTGGAGTACATCTATGATTTCTCATTTTGAAAGGAGCCATCACATTACCACTTGGCTGAACACTTTAGGTTTTAGTGACATCCACTTCAGGACTCCCTTTGTGAGCATGGCTGAGTCTGAGCACTGGGCAGTTGACAACAAACACCCCAGGCAGTAGGGAAAGGGGCAGAGGGATAATGGAAAGTATAACTTATTTAGAGTCTAAAACCTTCAAGGCCTTGGGACATTTCCCTTCTGTTCTCTTAGTCCCTTCTTATTCTTCTGTTGGACACAAAATAGACAAAACCCTTCCCTTCTGCCAAAAGCCAATGACAAGCTGAATAGATCGAACACCAACCACCCCAACAGCCACACTTTTGTATGCAAGGAAAACTCACTGAGCACACAATGGGCCTGAGATTGTTCAGGTGTCCCAACAACGAGCACCTTGGAGACAGCCAAAGGGAAATCTGTCTGGGTCATCATGTCTCTGACTTAAAGCAGTTGCCCCAACAAGCCTGTCCAAGCCTAAGAATGATACCTCAGGGCTCCCAATGACACCCAGTGAGGGTCACAAAAGAAAACAGCATCCCAGAGTTACACCCAATTAACTTGACTGAAAAAAGCAAATAGTCTCAGGCATGTCCCACTTCCCTGCTCTGTCACAACAATAATTCATTTCAGGCTTCTGGTTCTGGAGGGACAGAGCTGTGTCTGCCAGAGGAGAAAAGTCAGTTCTGAGGGAGTGTTCAAGAATGTGGTAGCCTTGCTATCTACCTTCCTCTTGTATTCCATATTTGGAATCTGAACCCAAAACCTTTCTTAATGGGAGTCAGAATCAGATGTGCTATGCAAGTATTAGAGCCGTTTCCGGCTTGTATGTCACATGCATGCTGGCCCACTGGCCTCAGAGGAGGTGGAGGCAAACAAGACTACGGCTCTTACTGTGACATTTCCAAGCCTCTGGGAGCCTAAGTGTGAATAGCTAGGGATCAATGGCAAAGTATTTTCTTCTAATTCTTTGAGCCACAGCTGTCCACTGGTTACAGTGGCAGCAGGACCCAGTGGTGATCAAACGGGGTGCTGCATTCTGTACTCACGGGTCCCTTTGGGGTGGGGCTAACTCTAGGGCTATGGTGACCATGGGATATGAACACGGCAGCCACACAGGAAGAAAAGGTAGTCAGCAGAGAGAGAGAGAGAGAGAGAGAGAGAGAGAGAGAGAGAGAGAGAGAGAGAGAGACAGAATACGACCAAATAAACTTCACAACCACCTTGTGAGACAGTTAAGAGTATACTCAAACAGCCACTAGAAGCAGAGCACTTTCCCGGCCGAGTTCACGGACAGTCTTAGAAGTGAGATCTTGATGAAAGGCAGAGAGGAGATTGGATAAGAAGTCCAGAGACGACTAGGACCACCCCCGGAAGAGAGTGTATGAGTCTAACAAAGGGAAACAAACTGGAAGCAATATGCCACAGTCTAGTTCTATTATGAGAACTGAGATGACAAAGTGACCTAGCAATCCTATGCCACCACGAATATGCAGAAGTAAACATACACTTTCCCCTTTGAGCACAGACTTAAAGGAACACAGGCACTTATCTCTGAGCATATTAACAATTATCAAAGTGAAGTCAAGACTTTAAAAGAAAACAAAAACAACTTATAAATAAAACAATTAGTGACCAGCTTCAAGAACAGAAATATTTTCAGCTATGGCCTGGGGTACTTGTAGCAATGTTTTCAGTGAGGTATGGAGCATTAAATTTCATAATTGGGTTATGAAATAGACCCTGTAGGCAATTGTTTTTGGGTTACCCGTTTTCCAAATGACATCAAAATTTAGTGTGTATAGAAAAAATGTCTCTTCTTCTGAAAATCGACATAGATTAGCGAATGTGTTAGGAGACTCACTCATGCCAGGCTCAGTCAAGTAGCTGTAGCGCTTACGTAAAGCTAAAGATGCAAAGCTCTGCCGTCTGTCCGCTTTCTCAGCCTGGAAAAGAAGAGAAGAAACCGTTTCCACCTTCCCTGGGACACCTTTACACAATGAAATATTTCATTGGATAGGATGGTCATGTCCTGTCCACCCTTAGGCATTATTTCCCCCTTGGGAGTCTGACCCCTGCCCTCAACTCTCAACATAGACCACCATGTAGCAGGTTTTAAGAACACCCACACAGCAGACCAAGGGGGACTAGAAACGTTGAGCAGTGAGTTTCCACCAGTTCATTATACTGAAAGCGCACAGGTCGCAAAATAGGCTCGCTTGTGTGAGTCCACTCAAGGAGAAACGATACAGAAAGTATCATCCCAGAATCCACTGCGGGTACACAGTAGAAATAAGATTACAAACAAGTCAGCAGTTGTGTGACTTGAGCTGCCTTTGTAACTGCCAGCTTATTTATGGTTGACAATTATTGTGGGTTCTTAGAAGTCCAATTATCACAGAGCTTATGGAAATGCACAGAGATAAGTTATCTTGCAAAACTGGACAATGGCTCTCTTAAAATACGGCTAAGATCAGGCTGGATACGTGGGGCAGAGGTTAAGTGTGGATACTGCTCTTCAAAGGACCTGATTTTTGGTCCTGGCACCCACATCAGGAAGCTCACAATCTCCCAGGGGGTTATCTCATGTTCTCTCCTGGCCTCCAGGGTCACTGCACGTGTACACACCCACACAGAAACACATATACACATAAGTTTAAAAAAAAAAGGAAAATCTTTTTTAAAATGGCCAAGATAAATTCCTTAGCTGGGATGGCAAACATCTATCAGCAATTGGTGAGAAAATACTTTACGTTACATAAAACAGTTGATTGTACAACACAATTCCATATAATAACCAAGGTCTTGAGTTAGAAGTGACAACAGAGCAGGTAGCCAGACGGCAGTGGGTAGTAAAATACACCTGTGAAACTTATGCATGGCAATCTGTCATGTTTAAAGATGCTTACATGACTGCAGGTTTGTCATTAACTAGTGTATTGTTTTTCCAGAATACACTGAAGCACGCCTATGTTCACAGGAAGAGTGAGCCACTTTCAAGAAGAATAGCTGACTCTCCCTCACACAGGCTAAGACGGACAATAGCACTTAAGACTGTCCCCACACTTGAGCCCCGCTGCAAGCTTTTCATACATATCCAGTATCTATTCTACCTCGGATAGAATAAAAGCAGAAGTTTTCATATTACCTCATCATCTTGATCTGACTCTGTCTCCTTTTGGTCCCAAGATGCATTGCAGAGACAAGGAATATTATAATGGACAGCAGGGAAAAGAGTGTCAGGATATGAAAAGGACTAAGTAGGGAGCACACAAGGCAAGCTGGTTTAGAAAGCAAAGCAAAGCAAAGGAAGCCAGTAAAAAAACGGTATCACGGACCATACATCCATGGCAGATTAACACGTGACAGTCATTGGAAGCATAAAAAGCTACAAACTACCAGCGGAAGCAATCAACAGAGGACTCTGTCATACAGACTTGTAGGAACAGGACACCACAGGAACAAGACGTCATCTACACACAGAGACTAACACAACTCGAGTTTCAGGGGGCTTTCCAAGGGACACAAAGCATTCCTTAGTGACATACCAAGGGCCCGTTGCCTCAAGACCAGGGCGGGGGGAATGTGGAAATAAACCAGTTTTAAAAGATACCTTTTTATGTGCAGGTAGAGTAATATTTAAGTTGCAAACAGCCGTTTGGGGTAATCCCTTTGTTGTCTTCGGCTCTTTCAGGAAAGACAGACGGCCACAGGGCTCTTGGCTGGTGTCTCTAATCTAGAAGAATTTGGGTAACTGATGATTACACAAAGAGACTGATTCTTATCTAAGGGTGAGACATGTTTGTTTTATCAAGTACACAGAGAGGGAAAGGATGGTGACCCAGGATGAACCTGGCAAGGTACCAGAGTCTCGGGTCCTGGCTTACACAATAGGATGGCCACCCACTTGTCTCAAGTGACAAGCCATTCTGGGCTATATGCATTACCTGTCTTCCTACTGATTGAACTTAAAGCTTCCGGGCTTGAAACAACAAATGGTGTGAGCCCCCTCACTCTGCCTGAACCCCCATGGAAATAAAAATCAGAGTTACCTGGGTTGTTTCATTTTACAAACACTTCTTTGAATTATTTAATTTTATATTTTGGTATCTTTTGAGACAAGAGCTCACTATGTATGTAGAGCATGCTGGCAAACTCACAAAGATCTATCTGCCTCTGCCCTCCTGGAGTGTTGGAATAAAAGGTGTACACCACTAAACTGGGTTCCGTTTCTTTACATTTAAATCATATATATATATATATATATGTATAAGTTCATCTACCAATAATAAAGTTTTACTAACTTGAAAATCCACCCTAGTAGAACTAGAGCAAAGTCTGATCTTGTTCTTAAGTCACATTTGGTGGGATAATTCAAACTAAAGAACCATTAAAAAAAAGTTTATTCTCTCAGAACTTTAAAAACTGCAGAGTCGATATTAAAGATGATTTACCTTGATGGAAAATGGAAGTCTGTTTTCTTTGAAAGAATAGAAGTTAAAAACAAGCTGCTGAGCTCCTTTGGTAAGAGGGGCCAGGTTTCCATAGCAATCAACAAATATGGGCTTTCCTTCCAGAACCTTCCAGAGTAAAAGAAACACACAATCTAATGTTAACTTGCCCTAAAAGAATTTTGAGTGTTTTAAGTCAAATAACATTCAAAGACTTACATAATCACATCAACATGAGAAAATTCCTTCTATGGAGTTGTTTGCTTTAAAAATATGTCTGGGTGCTTACACTCCAACAGCCGTAATTAGTAGCTATTATTACAGACAGGTGTACAACAGAATTATATTTCTCTGCCAACAGTTTTAAACATGTCAGAGAAAATGCCTGCCATCATTTCCTTATGTAGACTGAGATGTGCCATTTTTTGGCTGGCCAATACTCATATGATCTCCAGGTTTGAAAAAGGAAAATAGTGGTACTGTGTGTGCAAAGTGACCACACACACACACACACACACACACACACACACACACACACACACACAACCACAGGACAATGGAGAGTAGTTGAGATTCATTAGTATTCTATCTTAACCAGCTGAGGTGAACTCAAAGCACTTTATATGAGGATGAATTCATTTCAAAAGTTAAAACGTGGACATCATTGATATTTATGTCTAGTGTGTGCTGTGATGGTCCCTAAGTAAGGCCACATCTGAGAGATGCAGCAACAGACACTCGTTCTTGTGGCCCCGGTACCTCAATGTCTTTGCTCCTGGCCACCTCCTCAAAGTTCTCCTGCTGCTCCAGGGTTTTGTCTGCCCTGTCGTCCGTCATGCAGAAGCACCGCAGGGAGGACTCCACCGGGTCATTCGTTTTGGCAAAAACAACGAACTTGGCCATGTAGGGGACACATATCAACTCTCTGTATAGCTGTGAGGCCAGCCCTACAGTTTCTAAAACCTGGTGGCAGTCTGCAAGCCAAAATCTGAGAAAAACAAAACACAAAGTGTGAAAACGAAAAACAAACCCCAATAACAACAATCCCCCCAAAATAAACCCCAAAGAAGTCTCAATGAAGAAAATCAGGGGCTAGGGGTATGACCCTCTGGTAGTGCAAATGTTTTTAGTGTGTTTATCCTCTCCACATAAAAAAAATCGAATTATGAAATACAATGAAAAAAATCAGAATCTAACAATCAAACATTATAAACTTTTTAAATGGCAAAGATATTTACTTTCTATCAAGCAAAAAAGTTTATTCCTCAATAATAGTTTTTCTAAAAAAAGTAACACTAAGGATCTTCTCTCCTCCCCCATAAATTTAAAAGAAATTATATTGTATTGACAGCAGCATTTTTTTTTTTACTTCCCCAAAATGTGAGAAAATGAAATCTGTGATGCTTCTGGAACTTTCACGTCCATACCTGGCTGAAACATTGGTTGTGAAAGACACGCACTCCTTTATGAAGGTCAGAGGGGTAGTTCCTGTGATGTCTTCCCATTGAGCCGGCGAGGTGCCCCCTGGGAACAGCATAGACAGAGTGGCTTTACCATAAGGTTCTCCCTGCAGACTAACTGCTCGTTGTCTGGCTGTTCTTCCGGCAACCACTAAGAATGTGGCCAGCTACAGCGCTTTGGGTTCTGTGGTGCTGTGAAGGTGACTGTCTCTGCCCAACTTCATGGTCTTACCTGCTAATGGGGAGTTCATGGGGATTCACAAGTACATACATACATACATACATACATACATGCATACATGCATACATATATATATAATTTTCTCTCTGTCTGGATCACCAGGGGGTAGTTTAAACTTGGGGTAATTTGTCACTGCCAGACTTAGTAGTTTCAGACTGTGTGTGTGTGTGTGTGTGTGTGTGTGTGTAGAACTTGTTAGATTCAGCTCTTCTACGATGTGGGTTCTGGGTATTGAACACAGGTTGTCCGGCTTGTCTGCAGGTGCCTTTACTTGCTAGCCATCTTTTGGGCTTGAGGTCTGGACTCTAGGTATTTAGAATGTGTTCTAAGATCTGGTGACAAGGAAGAGCACAGCTGGGTGACACCAATGGCATCCTCAATACCTCTCATTCAGGCCCTGGAAGACCTTCTCCCAGAATTCGTTTGTTTCCCTCGTCCAAAGGATGCTTCTGGGTTGATTACCTCTGTCGTGGTTGCCAAGAAATTCCCTGAGCACTCCAGTTGAGCCAATAACACCTCGATAATACTGAGAGAGCGTGATTACTAGTACACCAGTATCAGGGGACAGCCCTGAAGTTTAAATATTCCAGGTGGAAATTCTTCCCATTGAAAGGCCTGAAGAGACTAAATACACGACTTATCCTTGTTTCCTTTGCACCTCTGCGCCCAGTCACGGCTGACAGATAGGAGTGACTACAGGGAAGGAACCAAACCTGTGATGCTACAGAGGAGGCGGAGGTTGGGCGTGGTGTCCCCCTTGTACCCATTGGACACGCCTTCTCCTGAGGGTGGGGGCACCGGAATGGTCATGGTGATTGGCTTATGGAATTTCCTCCTTCTTGGTTCCACGGTGACAATTGGGCTAAATGTTGCTTTGTTTCCAAGGATCTTTTTCACAATCTCCTCTGGAACTGGCTGAGCCTACAGACAGTGGAAGAAAGCAAAAACAAAACCCTAAATAAAAGTAGATTTTTTTTTTAGTTAGAAGATGTAGGGGTTTTTTTTTATACCCCCCAACACAGGGTTTTTCTGTGTAGCTTTATAGACCAGGCTGGCCTCGAACTCATAGAGATCCACCTGGCTCTGCCTCCTGAGTGCTGGAATTAAAGGTGTGTACCACCACATAGCTCCAGAAGACATAATTTTAAATTGAGAATGGTGGGAGGACACCTTACAAAAGAAATCCATGTCTGTCTTTACCCTTTTTCTCACTGCTTCAGGAAGGCAGAGAAATGAAAAGACGCTAACGTGGGCAAGCAGTGGTTTCCTCGGGGGAGCTGGCCATGCTGACTTGCTGGGAGGAGAAGGAACCAAATCTCAGAGCGAACAGGAGGAAAGCAAGGGCAACCTCAGTATATGCTAACCCTGAGCAAGATGTACCCAAAAGTCTCACAAAATCATGCTGTACAAATAAACAAATGAATGAATAAATAAATAAATAAATAAATAAATAAGTGGAAACCGTGAGGCTCTCAGAGCTGAGGAGCAATCTATAAATCTATAACCCAGACGGATGAATTCTAGTCAGCCAGGCCTAACTTACTCCATTTGGTATCTCTGCAGTCTGGTGAATTTGGTTCAACACAGGGGTTAGGGGAAAGCAATCTTACTGACACACAGGGTTTGCAACTCAGAGTGTTTCAACTGCCTACAACACCTCGGAATGAGAGTCTAGCCCCACAAAGAAAAGCTGATGCTCAGTTCAACTTTTAATCACGGCATTAACCAAAATGATAATTTCATCCTTTTCTGTTTAACTTCTTCAATAAAGAAAAACAAGGAGTTAAAGACTAACCTAACTGAAATGAGTAAATATAAGAAAGATTATTTTTGCCAAGATTTCCAGTCAGCTTTCTAAACCCAATCAAATTCCAACTGGTTTGGATGAAGCCCAGCATTTATGAAGTCCTTAAGCTCAAATGTGAGCACTCGAGACCAAGCACCCACAATGAGAAGGGATATCTTCTAAACAAACCAATGAAGATGATTCGTATCACTGGTAGAGGTCATCAGGTGTCCTTCTCAAAGTGCTCTCTGTCTTATTTTCTGAGACAAAGTCATTCCAGGAATCTGGAGCTATCAGTCAAGACTGACTGGGATTCTCCTGTCTCCATTCTTTCCCCATTGCCAGTGCATGCCACCACAGCTGGCTCTTTTTAAATGGGACTGGGGATCGAACTTGTGGTTCTCATGCCTGCCCAGAAAACATTTACCAACCGAGCCACCTCCCCAGCTCCAAATGAGTCTTTTAAGTGGAACATGGCTGAAAATCTACACCCTCGTTTGACCAGTCAGTAAGCTGGCTTTACACTTGAAACACTTTCCATTTGAGGTAAGTCAATCATCCCCCAAACAGTCTAATTATCAACGTCACAAATGATTAATTACTGGAAGGCTTCTGGAGCAAGACATACAAGTTCTCTACATGTACAGAGAAAGCCGATGCTTTGCCATCAGTACCTGGAGACCCACTCGGATCCTTTTGGTTAAGGCACCCTCTGGGAAAGACGCCTGGACCAGGGGCACGGTGGTGCTGCTCAGAATCCCACCCTCAGGACCGATCTGGTTGCTTTCCTGCTTAATCCGGGAAACCACGGCAAAATACTGGGGGAAATCCTTCGTGATGATCCTGCAGATCCGCTTTGTCCCCAACTCTTCTGGGCTGTCAAGTTCTGGAAGACAGAAAGGGTGAGAAGCTGTGAGCAGGTGTCTTTGCATAAAGCACCTTGACACCCACTGATGTTTAAAACAGTTTTTAAAATGATGTTTTTGACATGAGGTCTCATGTAGCCCAGGCTGGCCTCAAACTCACAAGATAGCCAGGGATGAACTTGAACTTCTGATCCCTTCCTGTCCTCCTAATGGTCCCTGCCAAGTGCTAAGATTACAGACATGTGCCATCCATTACATATAGTTTTCTGGGGTGCTGAGGATTGAACTCAGGACTTCATGCATAATACACAAGCACTCTGACAGCTGAGTCATAGCCCCAGCCCAGGAACATAATTTTTAAGATCTGAATTAATACTCTGAAACATGCACATTGAACACAGTTGCAGGGTCCCACAAAACATTTCAACTTAAAAACATCGTGCAATGCATGAATGAGTTCACATACAGTGATCTCAAATGTTTCCTTTGCAGCTTTTTGAAATGTGCAGTATGCCACTGTCATTGAGCTCACCCACTTTCCTGTATAGTCCCATAGCAGAACACTTTGTACCAATGCTCAACCTCTCCCCACTTCTCCCCAGCCTCTCCTACCTACCATTCTGCCTTCAATTAGTACAAGACCAACTTTGTTACCTTCCATGCCTGTAAGATCACGCAGCATTTGTCTTTTATGCCTACTTCAACTCCCAATCTTAATAGTTGGCTATCTTTCTATTTAGTAGCTATAACATATATACATATATTCATACACATACACACACATTTATGTAGAGAAAACAACAGGGATCACAAAATATCAAGCTTTGCAAAGATACCATACAACTATTAATAAATTCTGCTTGGGAGGAACAAGCATCTCTAAACACTGGGATCTTGGTGGGCAGTGGTAGTAGATCTCTAGTTTGGGATTAGGGCAAATCTTCCTATCTGAGACTGAAAATCCAGAGCTTTAGCAAAAGACTGGGGGTGGGGTAAAGATGGCTCCCTGGTTAAAAGTGCTTCCTGCTCTTCCAGAGGACCCCGGTCCAGTTCCTGGTGCCTATGTTAGGTAGCTCACAACTGCCAGGGAATCATCTTGTTGACCCAAGTGGCTATTTTACGTACAAGAGTGTGATGCTTTCCATGACAAGCAAAACCAGTAAACTTGAAAGAGGTACATTAGGAAAGTTAACAGTCCCAGCTGACACAAGGGTTGATGTGCTCAACGCCCACGCGGGCTGTGACTTGATAGGAGACACATGAGGGGACAAACGAAAAATGTTAGGGGTACTCAACTCCCTGAAGCTGGGAAATGGTCAATAAAAATACAATGTTCAAATTAACATTTCACATGGACATAATTAAAAAGCAGCAATGATCCCCCCCATCCATCTCTCCGTCAGCTGAAACTAAGCATCCTATTTTGAAGAACCAGAAAGTTAGGAGAGAGTGTGTGCACTCCTATGATCACAGCCAGGTGTTAATGGCAATGATCTTCTGGGAATGTCATTGAGGGCTTGTGAGAAGGTTCACTGCTGATGAGCCTGCATCTGATCCCAGGAACCCACAGAGGAAGGAGAGGACCACCTCCTGAAAGGTGTCCTTTGAACACCCCATGTATGCCACAGCACCCATAACCCTCCCCCAATAATAAATAAAATTAAAATTGAAGAGAATTGGGAACCTTTTGCCCAAAATGAAATTGGACCTAGAAGTCCTATTTTCTTACAGTTTTTTTTGTAAGCTTATGCAAAACTTCATTGTTTGAAAGATGAACACTGGACAGCCATATGCTCATCAATAGGACATGCCTCTCACCCACAGTCCACACAGCCCTGTGGGGTACACAGTAAGCTTTAGATTCACTGATCTACCAAGTGTTTACTGAAGGCCCACCATACACAGACACAGGAATTAAAGTTATCACTTACACGGAAATTACAGTCTAATAGAGGGAGTGGGAGTGTGTAGCAGAAACAGCTAAACTGAGAAGAAAGTAAATCCAGGAGAGGAATAGGAGGTGACTAGGGAACGGGGGGGGCAGGGAGGAGGGTCCCATTCGAATGTAGTGTCTGGAGTAGATGGTATTAGAAGAGACAGCATGGAGCCGGGCAGTGGTGGCGCACGCCTTTAATCCCAGCACTGGGGAGGCAGAGGCAGGCGGATCTCTGTTAGTTCGAGGCCGGGCTGGACCGATAGATAGCCTCCAAAACAATACAGAGAAACCCTGTCTCGTAAAACCAAAAAAAAAAAAAAAAAAAAAAAAAAAAAAGAAGAGACAGCATGGAAGGGAGGAGCCCAAGAAGTGACCCACAGGGCAAGGAAGGAGAGAAGATATAAGCCATATGCTAAGTATAAATCCCATTAGGAAAACCATGTCATTGAAACATGTCTGTGTATCTTTATGAGAAAGTTGTAGAAGGACCTTCAAGTGTAACAATGCTTACATCCCGGGGACAAGAGATGCTACCGAGGGTGGAAAGACAGTGGGGGGACATCATCCGGGTCAAAGGAACAACTCTCAAACTTCAGGGGGCAGATCACCGCTATTTTCAGTGGCCAGTGCTCATATGAGCCTCTGAGGACAATTTTGTCTAGGGTTAAAATCAGGACTGGTCCCAAATAAAGATAGTAGAACAATGAATGCATCATTGCACAGGTAGATCATTAGCACATTCTACAGATCAACCCCTGAACACTGAGTTTGGGGGATCAAACCAGTTGTCCATGAGGGGAAATAAAAACTGGGCTCCTCCTGGACAGAAAATGGAATCGGAACTGTGCTCTTGTCTGTTTTGGTGGCATCAACTTCCCCTCTGCAAACCTAGACGCTGGAGGAAAAAGATAAAGCAACGTTGCCCAGAATAGCAACTAAGTGAGGAATCAGGAAAATATTGCAAAGGAGTTTGCAACTGAGAGGAAAGTACCCCGACACAGTGGTTTAGCTTATGCAAGAGAGTGAATTCCCAGAGTTCATAGCACCTGCAGCCACCTGAGAAAGAAAGTACAGATCATCTGTGTGGCTAACTGTACCACACCATCACCAGCTCAGTGGTATCTTTTGCTTTCACCACCAGTTTGCCCTTAGGTTGTCCTGCAAGGTGGATCAGCTGTCCATGAAGACTGTCTTAAAGCTGCATTCAAATAGGCGAGTTTTTCCTAATTCTGCTAAGAAGGATCTATTTGTACTGAGAGTATGAGACTGCTCAAGGGCATTCCCGACCCACTGGGGAGGTAGGAATATTTTGAGAGATTGTTAACAATGCACATTTACTGTGTTTACACATGTGTGTCTGTGTGTGTTGGGTATATGGTAAGGATTTAATGTAGAAACCGCTGCATCACATTCCGGGAACTAATGAGCTAAAAAACAACCCTGCTACTTTGTACAATGGAGGTACCTGGTTACACATCCATTGTATCAGCTTTGGTGGGCATTAACACCATCCAAGTTCAATGTGTGCATGTACATTTCAGATATAGCAAGCAAGTGCTTAATGGAAAGGGTATATTGTCTTTTTTTTTTTTTTTCTTGAGACAGGGTCTCTCTACATAGACCTGGCTATCCTGGAACTCACTATAGACCAAGCTGGCTTTGAACTCAGAGAGATCCGCCTGCCTCTACCTCCCAAATGCTGGGGGGATTAAAGGAGTGCACCCAGCTATTTGTTGTCTTGAGACAGGGTCTCATGTTAGCTCAGGCTGGTCTCGAACTTGCTTTACAGCCAAGAATGGCCTGGAACTCCTGATCTTCCTTCCATATGCTGAGAATATATGCTTGAGCCACCACACATAACAAGAGGCTGATTTATAATCTGTGTGCAAAGAAGGTTCCAGAAGCAGTTTGTCAGTGGCCTGCAGCTTCTGACATCTTTCAGGATTAGCCAGGGCCTTGGGAGCCCTGCATTGCCCTCCGTCTACTTTAAAGCTTTTATCAAATATTCTGGCCCCATTAAAGTTTGCATACTGGTCGACTGTCAACATACACATTAATATTTAACCCTCAGCTTAGAGGAACACCTCCGATTTGGTGATTTGAGAACTGTCACAGACAAGTGGCAATATTCAGGGCTCCTCTAGGCACCACCTTTCCATAGGGTCACATACAGCCTGGAGTATTCAGATTTCCAGGCCACAGCACGAGAACACAGTAGAAACAAGATCTTTCCAAGTCTCCTCATAGCCAGGTTATCCCGTGTTTGTGTGTTTAAAAACCGTGCAATTTGTCCCCCAAGAATCAAAGTAAGTCCAAGAGAAATGCAAACAAAACAAAAAACAACAAAAACCTATAACCAAAACAAACAAACAGCAATTAGTGATATGGTGGTTTAGAAAAAAGAACCACAATCATTAAGCCCAGGCACGAGAGGGAGGCCGCAGGTGGACGCTAAGATACTGCGGAAGAAAGTAAACGATGGGGCCGGAAGCAAGCGTGGGGAGGCAGGAGGAGTGAACCGCATCCAGTGACGTCACTGTGGAACCCTCATCTCACAATCTTCCCTCAGCAGCAGCAGGGTAAGAAGGAGTCTGATAAATCATTATGTGGGACGAGATGGCCTTCTAACAACCAACTACCACGTTTTTTACACAGCCATGTACCTATCCACGGAACGTGTGTAGAAAGGGATAGAGAGGGCAGAGGCAAAACTAGAAGATGTGGTACCCAGAGTGTGTGCAGTGGGGCTGGAGAGATGGTATTGAACCCACAGGATCTGGGTTCAATTCCCAGCAGCACCCACATGGCAGCTCACAACTGTCTGTAATTCCAGTTTCAGGAGCCCCGACACCCATGGTAAAATGCCAATGCACGTAAAAAAATAAATACAGGGAGGCAGGGGGCTTGAGGAGATGGCTCAGGTCAAGAGTGTTCACTGCTCTTGCAGAGGACCTGGGTGTATTCCCAGGACCCTCATCAGGTGGCTCAAAACCACCTGAAACTCCAGCTGTATGGTATACAATGCCCTCTTCTGGGAGCTCACCCCCCCCCCAAGTAAAACTTATAGAAAACAAAACACTTAAC